TGTTACCACTTAGGCAAATGACTTATTTGAGGGTATCATCTAGCTCTTTGAGGTAGCGTTAATAACTACCTCAAAATGTTGTTCTAAGCATGGACTGAGGTGAAGTTTCTAAATTACTATATGAAATGGGAACTCATTGAATATTGTTTTTTCCCCCCTCTTTGTTTTTTGCCTATTATTATATCTGATACAAAAAGCAGGTCATTACATGGCACTAGGTGATTTTTAAGTTTCAGAATCACATACAAATGGCACTTAGTCTCTTTAGCTCAATTTCTTCATTTATAAAATGAGAATGAAAAATAGTACTTCAAAACTTAATGGGAACATTGAGAAAGGGATAGAAAACACTTACCACAATAACTTGGTACAGGGTAAATGGTCAATAAATAGCAATTGTTCTTTGTAAAATTAGCACATTCTCTCAAATCAGTATAGTGTTAACAACGTTAGGAACCGATTAGTAGTCATTTCCACGTGGAACATCCGAGCAGAGTGTGCGTGCTGCCGATGTCATCTTAGCAACCAGAGGCAGAGGGAAATACTGCCACAGTGGTGGTAGGGTCTATGCCGCTGTTCTCTGTGATAGGTCTTTGTATGAAATCTGTCACGATACTGAACACGTGATTAGTGCCAAAGTATCTCCTGTTAGTTGGTTATTGAATTTTAGAAACAAGTTATTTTTCTTCAGCTAGTTTAACATTCTGATTTGAACATTTTTATTATTATTACTGTTATAACAGTTGAATGTTTATATTAGCTTTCCAAGTTTATTCATACACAAGAATTTTTTATTTCTAAATATTAAGGCAAATGACAGAAATAGATGGTGACATTTCTGTTGACAGTCCTGGTAAGAGTTATTGAAAAGTGATTATTCTAGAAGACCCTGCAGGAGACAATATGTAATGATTCAGAACATTTAAAGCAGATTCTTTGTCGTTTTATGTTTTAAGCACAATCGTTTGTACACAGTGTCACAATGTATTGCTTAAAAAATGAACCTCAGTTGTCCTTTAGTGAAAGCCTTAAATAATGATAATAATCACCCCCATCTTGGTTATAACTTAGACTGAGAGACATGAATTAAATTAAATTGAAATTGAAGTATACATACTTTAAGATACTTTGTTAAATCCAAACAGACAAACAAGTAAACAAAACCTTAAGTACACAAATATAGTCTGTGATGTTTTCTCAGAGTACAAGTTATTTTTAAGGACAGCTCAATACACAAAGAGCTACTAGTTGTGTTAGCCATATCGGGTAGGTGGTATTCTAACATTGAGTCATGAGTACACATTCATCACTTTGAAAGTGGAGAGCAGATACAAGCAAGAGTAAATAAAAAGTCTAAATTTTATCTGTCTATCTATCTGGATTTTAGGACTTTCTAATACAGATTAACTTGCTTATTTAGCTTATTATAGCCTCATTTATTTCTTCTTACAGTTGTTTTTATACATTCTGCTTACTGTCCTTTTAAAATTTGTGTTGAATATTTTTGATATACTTAGATCTTAATTTTTTTATTTTTATCTTCATAATTGCCAAAAAATATTATTTTCTGTAGAAGAGGAAAATTATAGTAACTCTAACTTATAAAAATTGTTTTCATAAGGAAATTGATGCTCTATTTCAAATCTTTTGGAAGCCTTTGTGACAGTTTTAATATATACTTTCAGCAGAATTAAGTAGATAATTTAGTATAGTTAACTGAACTTGTGAGTCCTTAAACTTTAATATCATAAAGAAAAACTTTGTCTCCTTGGCTTTTAAGTTGTTTTAACTGTTAGTAAAAATTAAAGAGCCTAATTTTTCAGTAAGAGGTGATGATTCTAAATTGTACGGTCCGTATAGGTATAAATTGGATGTATGTTTTAAAAGCCTAAAGGAAAAAAAACAGACATTTGTAATTGTTTCTTTTACAACGTGTATACAGTAATTGCTATATTAAAATATTTGAAAACCTATATATTGCTACATGAATATTGTGACAAGTGAAATTATGATTGCCAAGCAAAAAGTTTCTATATTTAAAATTCACTTTAGCAAATCAACATTTTCTATTCCCTTTTCTAATGCTCTCTTATTCTGGCAGATCACCATTTAAAGAACAAAACACGAACCATGCATTTATTTGACTGCCATGAAGAATTAAATATGAAAAAGATGAGATACTGTGGCTATCACTTTTTATTAAAACCAGCCGCTATGGTTTTAAAGTGCTAAACCAGATCAAAATGAGTACAAACCCTAGAGGCTTTAATCTGAGTGAACCAGCTTGTTTTGAAAGAGAACTTTTTTGTGTTTGTTTTTTAAATTTGTGAGAGACTTGCACATACATCTTTCTTATTTGATCTTTCACTAGCTCTGTGAGCTACGAAGACCAGGAATTATAATTATCTCCATTTTACTGATGAGAAAACTGAGACAGATTTAATTGATTTGCGTAGGCTAGGCTGTGCCAGAAATAGTGTTAGTGTTCCAGCCTTTCAGCTGTGAATACCTGTGTCTGAACCATTAGCTCTGCATTCATAATGTTATAGCAGGTCCTCTGTCCCGGTTAGACTTCTAGAATGTAATAGTCATGTGTCTGTCTGAATTCTGTGGCTTACGAGATCCAATATAAAACACTTAAGAGTTTCGAAAACTGTTATTAAACCATTTATAGCTTGAAATGGGCCATGATGGGAATATTAATACCATGGAAATTAGTAAGCACTACAAATCGGGGTTTCATTCTTTCTCCAAGAAATGATTTACCTGTATACCACTATGTCGAAGTATAAATTGAAGAAGGAAAACAAATGACAATAAAACAGAATAGTGTCATTTTAATACAGATGTAATATAATTTATAAATATAGTACTTATCTAGGGTAGAGGTCATTATTTCTTTGTGCATTAATGTAGAAATTTGTTTCTAAGCTGTATATTAGGAAAGCTTGAGTGTTTATAAATTGTAACATTTTTTTAGATCTAGGTCAAGTTCCAGCTCTTGCAAAAATTTGGGCAGTTGGCATGGCTTTTCCCTTTCCGGAACCTCTAGAAGGTTTCAAATAGAGCTGCATACATTGAGACTTATTTACTGTGTGTTTCACATGCACTAATTTGTCTCCTTAAGAGTACAGTAGATTCTTTGAAGAGTGAGACATGGACTTTCTTTTTTCTTTCTTTGAATATATTTTTAATGAACACCTATTATATGTGTGCTGCTATCCTTTTTTATTTTTTTATCCTCATCTGAGGATGTTTTTATTGATTTTAGAGAGAGAGGAAGGGGGAGGGAGGGAGGAAGAAAGAGACAGAGACAAATATCGATAGGCTGCCTCAAATCCACAACCCAGGCATGTGCCCTGACCAGGAATCAAACCTGTAACCTTTTTGTGTATGGGATGGTACTCTAACCAGTTTAGCTACCCCGTTAGGGCACTGCTGCTATTCTTCTTGCCTGAGAAACACTAGTTATCACACAAAAGTCTGTGCCCTTATGGAGCTTATAGTCTAGTGAAGAGTCAGGAATCAATTCAAACAAATGAAAAATATAACTGTGGAAAGTGCTTTGAAAAATTGTTTATAGTGTTGAGAGTGTCCTATCATGGATTTTTAATCTATTCATGGAGGTCAGTAAAAGCTTCCCTGAGAACATGGTGATTGAACAAATCTGAAGAATGAGAAAGAATTAATTTGAAGGTACTAGGTTTAGGCTATCATTTCTTAATATAGACTTTTTTATGCCTTCCCAATCTGAATTAAGTTACCTAATTATATAAACTCCATATCATTCTGAATTTGAGCTTTAAAGGTATTTTATTTACTGTGTCTGTTTTTTCCACTAGACTCTTGGCCCAAAGCTGTGACTATGTCTGTTTTGTTTACCTTGCTAGAATATGACACATAATAGTCGCTTTGCCAGTATCTTATAAGAAAGCTGGGATATGTCCTACCTACCTCTCATTTATTGAGAAGACATAGTAATATAATATACAGGGTAGGACAAAAGTAGATTTACAGTTGTTTGTATGGAAAATAGTACAAAAATTAATAATAATACAAGAATAAACTTTGTGTTTTGTGTACTTTTAACTGTAAACCTACTCTCCCCCATCTTAATATGAAATTCAGAAAAATAAGACAATACATAAATTATTTAATTTCGTGCCACAGAATGCAGGGAACACCAAGTATCCAGGAGTGAACTGAGATAAATCAGGTGTAGCAGTATGGTCTAGTGGGAAAAGAGGAAAGGCCATTAGATTTGGCAGTAAGGAAGTTTTACTTATTCATCTCATTTAAAGGAAATTTTTTCAGTTTGTGAAACATTAAAAATCATTTCTGAAATTAAATATCTGGTTAATTTTTAAAATTATTTTTCTTATGAAAGGCAAAAAGATATTTAAATAAACACATCTTGTAAATAAGATGTATACACGTGCATATGTATAAGATATTGTCCAGTGTACTTTGGAGGAAGGAAGGGAAGGAAGGAGGGAGGAATAAAAGAAGATTAAATGCAGGAAAAAAGACTGGAAGGAAATTGACAAGACTGTTAAATGATTATCTTTAAATGATAGGACTCAGGGTGATATTTTTTCCCCTTTTATGTATTTTATACTTTTCCATATTAAGTTTTTTAATTGAATTAATCTATATTAGTTTATAATGAAACAGTAAACAGAGTACAATTTCATGAAACCGACAATTGATTATTAGTTTAAGCCTATATACTTAGAGGATTCAGAACTATATTTCAGATTTTTTAACTTGCCTAAATGTTCTAACAATTTTAGTATATCAAAATGTTAAACATCAATTGGATCTTTGTTTATATATCCATTTGTACTTTTTGTGCCTGAGCTCTTTGAGGGTGGAGATACTTATCTTTGTATTTATAGCAACATCCTGGCAGTGACAGATATTTGTTGAATGAATAACTGTGAAACTGAGGTGTCTTGACCCTTTTATTGCCTTCAATCTTTGTACCTTTCATTTTTTAGAACATATGATTGAAAGCCACGATGAATGGTCATATTTCTAATCATCCCAGTGGTTTTGGAATGTATGCCTCTCAAATGAAGTAAGTTGGAAGGTTTATATTTAATTTGTTGGTTTTTAAAAGTTTGATTTGGTTATTTTGTTTATATTTTTAATGAAAATATTAATTTTATTCTTTATGTAGTTCATTCCTCATTAATATATAATGTCTTTATAATGCTAATATATCTTATCATCATGAGTTTGTTGTTTCTGGTAAGAAAAAAATGGTTAAGTAATATCAACTCCAGTGATAGTGATTTAATAGATGACGGTTCTGGTATTTGAAGTTTTATTGCTTTCTTATAGTTGAGTATATACTCTGCTTCAAAGTTTTCAGTTTTCTCTGGAGCATTCTATTAACGTTCTTCATAAAATTTTGGCATTTCAGGAGAGTCAAATGTCATCTAGTCCATTCTATAAAGATATTAGCCATTGTGTAAAACACAAAACGATCAGGCACACAAACAAAACAATCTCTGTGGCTCCAGGTGTAACTTGAAATCACCACCCTGACTGAAGTACCCATTGCCTTACATATTGTGGTTAACACTGTTATTTTATATTGGCCATTGTGATATATAGTTTGCTCTTGATTTTTCAGAACCAGGTTATTCACGTTGTAAAGTTACGCTTCTGTTTTTTTTTTTAACAGTGATTATTGCAGATCTCTTTAGTGTGTTGATCAGTAAAAAATGCCTCGTATGGGGCAGGGGAGGGGGGTATGTCAGGGGCCATCTTTCCTTGTCCATCAATTTTTCAAGCCAGAAAGTTTGGCCACACCCCTTAATTTTTTTCCTTTTTTCTTAGAACAAATACCCATTTAATCATGAATTTATAACAATTTATCCTATTAAAGAACTCTTGTTTCTATCCCTTTCTTCTGTTCCTTCTATTATAGCCCTGTTTATGGCCATTATCTCCTACCTGAATTTTTACAGCATCTTTCTATCTCGCCTTGCCATTAGTTTCAGGAAAGTCGTCTTTTAAAAAAAATTTCTGGATCACATCACTTCCTTGTATAAACATACTTGCTACACCTAGAGAATAAAAATTTAAATGATTACACCCTCTGTTTGCCTTCTGGACTTCCTGAGTCATTCATCTGACTAAGCAGATCACATTCCGCGCGTTTTCCCTCCGACGCCATGCTTGTTCCCGGGCCAGGGCCAGGTGCTTTTTCCGCACGGCGTTCTCCACTTGTCTGAAGAGCTTCTTTCCTTTCTTTTAGACTCTGCTTAAATGTCACCTTGGCTGTAAATCCTTGGGCATCCTGATAAAAAAATTAGCCCTTCTTTGATCCTGCAGGTTACAGCTATTTGTTTTATCCCCATACCACATATTCTTCTGGTTTAGGGCTTAGTAAATGTTCACTGAATAAATGAAAACTAATTAAAAATTTAGATAATATATTATGTTTACTGCATCTAATGTATTAGGAACAGGAGGCCAGAAATAAGGTAAAGTTGATTAAATGTAATGGGAAAGTGTTATTTTGGTTAACTGCCATTTAAATATTTGTGAAAATAGTGAATATTCCATTATAGCTTGAGTCATGGATAGCTTGGTGTAACCAGCTCACTGCTCTGAACTTGACTTGGTATGGCAAACTGAAACTCTTCTAAGATACTTTCAACCTTGGTGAATCTTCTTGGCTACAGTTCTCATTTGGCATCTGAGAGGAGGCTGTGATTTGCACCAGCCTGAGGCCTCGTTTGGGTCGCGTGGTTTATATTCTATTTCCTGACCACTTATCCGAACGTGATCTGTCTCGTCTTGGCAATTCTAGTTAGTGTAAACTCAGTATGTTTGTTTAAAGCACATGGTGATTGGGTATATTGGAATTTTTATTTGCAGTTTTGAATTATTTTTTACGTACTTTGGACTTTAACGCAGCACAATGACTATTTTTATTGCAGTGGCTACGGATCGTCATCCACCTTTTCCCAGATGGACAGAGAACAGAGTTCAAAAACAAGTGCAAAGGCCCTTTATGGTATGTTTATTTCTTTGATACAAGTATAATTCTATTTCTAACCATTTTTTATTTTCACAAATAGAATGTTCAGATTTGTAGTTTGAACCCATGCCTTCTTTTGTATTTTTGGAAGGAAGTAGTGATAGATAAGAATTATTTTTAAAACAGCTTTTACAGAAACTACCAAAGGTATGGGCTCTGCTTGCTGGTGTATTAGAACTACAGATGAAATGCATTCCGGTGCTTTCTAAGGAGCCTTTTGTACGGCACCAATGCTTCAGGTGGATTTTCCCACCTGATTACTTACATTAGTCTTGTCGATCTTCATGACTGATCCAGTTGACTGTGGGATGACAGTTGGCGCTCGTTCTTGAACTTGTCGGATAGTATTATAGCACGACCAATAGCATTTATGTAGCTTCATTCTGCACTGCAGCACAAGCAGGCTTTCTCCCCGATTCTTCTATAACCTCCATTGTTCTTTCTAGATGGTCTCACATTATAAATAATGTGTTTTAAACTTCAGTTATAAAAGTTATTACTAAAAAGAAGCTGAGGACCACATATGTTTAGGAAGGCATTTGATTTTACAGGATCTTTATGGCTTTTTAATATTGCATAACAATAAAGAATCATAATATGATTGTGGTTAAGAGCAAAGGCTCTGGACCCAGGCTTTCTGGGTTCAAATTTATTTATACCATTTATTAGCTGAGTGATCTTGGGCAAGTTATTTTGCCTGTCTCTACCTCATTTTTGCTTATCTGTGTAATGGAGCTACTCATTTTGTTAATAAGAGAATATAATGAGTTACTACATATAAAATGCTTAGAACATGCCTGGCTAGTAAGAAACATTAAATATGTGCTGCTGTTATTATTATTATTATTACTATTATCTGGGAACAAACAGCATTTTCTAAATTTGGAATTTTTTTTTAACATCTAGATCTACAATGCCTTGGCTATGGTAAGAATGAAAAATTCTAAGGTGTTTTTAAAATTCTTTTTCTGCCTATATATGCAGTTACTACACTTTAAGACTCAAATTATACATTGAGAAAATGGAGTTTATACCATACATGGATACATTTTCTTTTGGCTTTGTCAGTCTGGTTTGTGTTGGTTTCAGTTTTGTTGAATACTATATTGTGACATTCTTACTATGGTCTAGTAGTTGTGAATTGTAGATCTAGAAAATGTATTTACCAAATACTTTTTTGTGTGATAAACTGTGCTTAACACAGGGCCAGCGATATATGGTCCCTGACTTAATGGCACTTGTAGTCTAGAGAATGACTTTAAGAACATTGGAAAGGATTTTTTTTTGTAAGAATAAAATAATTAATTTCTTTAGTCTGTCATTTCTAGAGAAATACTTAAGTGAGTCTGTGTGCTAGGCCTTGATCATCATAGCATCTTCTTCCTTGTTCTTTCATTCATTTCAAAGATGACTAGGAGATGGCTGTTGCTTGTACATCATTTTGGTGAGGAGGTAAACTAGTAAATATATTGTCATAATAAAGAGCCAAATAAGCTTGGATGGTAGTGTGCATAAGGTGCACTGGGGAGGTTAGCTTCTTCTACATGGGTCAGGGAGGAGGTAGTCAGGTAGAAGAGTTGAGCCTTGCAGTGAACTGTGAAAGTTAAGTAGTGTTCTCCAGGCATGGCGGGGAGGCAGGGTGAGGGGGGGGCATGGGCAGGAGGGTGCTGTAAACAGCAGCTTGAGCTCTTTTAAAACTCGACTGTAAATTCTGTAATAGTAGATGATTGCTGCCATGTTTACTGCAGGATTCACTAAGCTTTAGCACAGTGACTACTGTGTAATTTCTGCTCAATAAATACTTGTAGAATGAAAATAATGAATTAGTGAGCTACAAATAGTTTGGTGTTAACTGGAGGGTGCAAGGTGTTCATTAGGAAATAAGATTGGAAAAATAAACATGGTCCACATTAGGAAGAATCATACTAATGAACTGGATGTTGATTACAGGGAATGATCAACCACTGACATATTTAATCAGAGGAGTAATAGGTCACATTAGCCTTGGGTTTTTTTAGTAACGGTATTACGGGAAATTAGGTGCATGTGGGTAGAAATAGGTGAATAAGACAACTGTGTAAGAGCCCTAAGACTTTTCTTAAGCAAAAAGAATATTAAACTCACAAATAACACAGGCTGAAAGGTTTGTTTTCAGGGAACTAGGAAAGGAATAAGGGATAAAAAAGTAGGACTCAGCTGTAAATTTTAATGTCATTCACAGCAACTTCATAAAATCATAGGTTCAAGGATTGAAAATCTTTAGCTTTCAGGCAGTAAATTTTTATTTTCCCCTTTTTACATATAAAGCAAACTGAGGCCCCTTATTAAGGTGAGGGGATTTTTCAAAGTCACGTAACTTTAAAAATCTTGGTTGTAAGAAATGACAGTTAATTTTATGTCACATGATAAAAATGAACAGTGGTAAAACAAAGAATAGAGAGAGAGAAAGAGAAAGAGGCAAAATCAAGAAGCATTTATAAGGAAGAAAGAGGACTCAGCAATGTATTGGGCTTACAAATAAGAGGGTTTTAAGTTCCTGGAAGTTGCTGATAATGTTTCTTCCTTCCCTTTGAATGTTCCTCCCAACACACTGTACAAAATGCACACATGCACACCTTTTCTCTAACAGACTCTCAGTGAATGACTGTGTAATGAATGGATAGAAAGATGATGGCAATAGTGAAATGTATGAATGTATTGAACAAACCTTTGCAATAAACAAATTCTAGGTGAAATTTTAACTACATTTAGTTAGCTTTGGGAGTGTTTACTTGAGCCTCCTCGCCTGCATAGTTTTAACTTCCTTTTTATAACGAGAAAGTTTGTGAAGGAGAGATTTGTAATGTAGTTTATTTTGTCACAATGTGTACATTTCTTTTAAAATTTCTCCTTTCACAAGTATTAAACTAGTTGAATAAATCTTTCAGAATTAACTGTCTTTATGGATGGTATATTAACTACATGAGTCTTACAATAATAGCCTCTTTTTTACACACTGACTGCAGGCTAGGTACTGTATCAAGGGTTTCATGCAGCTTGCGTTCTTATGAAAACCCTTTTCAAATCTGACACCATGGTGCCAGAGATGTGATCAGAGAAAGAGCATGGGAATCATGGGTATCGGAGGCCAAGTGATCTGCAGCTGACCCACGGCGCGCTACCGCAGGCTGCCATTTTGAGCAAATGATTTAACCCCTGGGCCCTGGTTTCCTCATCTGTAACATAGAAAACAATAATAATAATAATAATACTGTGATAAGATTATATGAGAAAATACAAGTAATGAGCCTATCATGGCAATGGGGATGGGTTTAGGAGAGTCACTTTTAGTCCTGGGTCCTCAGCTTAAAGAGGGTCCTCAAATTTAATATTTTAATACATCTAAATGATCACAGTGATACTTTGATAGGACCAAGAGTTAATCTTCATGGTATATTTCTAAGCTTATGTTCCACAAATTATTTTTATAAGCCTATAAATGTTTATTGAATGACACAATTATAACAATAAATCTGCTTTCTTTGGATGTGTATTAATGTAATTTATTCAAGGAAAACAGTTAAAATGTGCTAGAGTTTTAATAACCATATTTTGTCATTTCTTCATTATTATTCAAGAAATTTCAAAGCCAGCATGTGGGAGGCTCTGCATCACTAGAGTCTCTGACAACATAGGGACTTTTTGCTTAGGAAGATAAATGTTAATATTTTTCTTCTCCACTTATGATTGTAACATATCATTTAGCTACTGTTATCTGGGAATTAAAAAGTGTGTGTGTGTGTGTGTGTGTGTTTTCCAGCTAGCCTGTTTGTCAAAGTCTTTAAGTACTAAAACTTATAAAAAATTGTTTTAAAGGGAAATATTTATAAATTGTATTAAACATTCCTTCTCATCAGGGTGTAGACACTGTAATGGCTCGTTAATGACTCAGAGGGTCGTAGGTGTGGACACCACCTAGTGTTCTGTGACGTGCTCAAAGGACCACATTCCTTGCCTTTACACAAAATTCAGAATCTATTCACTTTTGAATATTTGGGTCTGCTTCTTCCAGGAGAATGGATTCCAAGTCTGTTGCTTTTCCCTGTTGTTAAGTTGCCTGCTTTTAGCTTTGCTTTTGATATGCATGGGCCGAGAAAATAGATAGAAACCCCTGTTAGTAAATAGATTCTGAGTGAGGAATTCAGTCTTTCTTGCTGGAGCCTATTCATTAATATGCGCAACTTTTAACATGTAGATATTGTGACATGTCTGTCTGTCATTCAGGGGACTTAAATTTAAGTATGGATTCGTGGCTGTGTTTTGAACAGCTGAACTTCCTGCAAAAGTAACTTCCCTTTAAATTAGATATTGCTGAATTTGGAATATAACCATTTACCATAAATAGTCAGCTGTTTAAAGTCATACTTATCCTATCTCCAGAAAAACTCAAGTTTCACAAAATTACCTATTAATAATACTTTGTTGTCATTACCAACATTTACAGTAACTTTGAGATTTGTGTTTTTGGGGAGGCCAAGTAATAATGGATAAATATGATATGTACACTTTAAAGTGTCACTTAGCCTTAAGTTTGAAATTTTTTGTGATGTCAGCAAGTAGGAAACTGTATTTTTGTTTCTCCTGCTTTTCTTTTTTCTTCTCAGGGAGCTACTTACTGATAAGAATGAAGTATAAGTAACCTATAAACTGCACAATTTCTATGATTGACTTGACTATAAATTTCCCTGTATTTTTACAGTGTTTCACTCGCTTTTTTCAGAATATACCACTTTTACTAACAGATATCTACTCCACATTTTTATTTTTGTACCAGTCTTCTTCTCACTCTCCTGATCTTGGTTTGGAGATAGTCTGTTTATCATCAAAACTGAAACCCAAGCAACCAACCTCTTACACATTTAAGTGGCACTGAAGAGTTAAAACTCATTTTTCTTTTCTCTGTCCTTATTATTTACAATATACATTTTACTTATTTTACATGAAAAAACACTTAGTTATATTTTTAAACAATTTTTTTTGTAATTCTTAAGAAGGTAATAGCCCAGACTTCTTCAGAGTCAGGAAGTTGGGCAGCGGTGGCGTCACAGTTCAGCTTCACGGAGTGTGCCAGAGCATGGGACTCAGAAGGATAGGTTAGCGATCTTCCCGACTTATCTGAAATTCTGAAGCTTGTTTTTCTCCTCATGGGAAAAGTTATTTTAACAATTTGAACTGGCAAGTAAAATTCTTATATAATATAATTTTGTAAAATCGACCTTGTTTGTTTTTAACAGTATCTTGGTTCAGATACTAGGTGTGTAAGTAATGAGAGCTTGTCATTACTACTCAGTACTTCTTACTTATTCCCATTAAGCACCTCTCCTTTATGGAAATGATACACGAAGATAATGGGGAAGGGATTTTCCTTCACTGGTGGTTCACAGTTTTTCTAATGTACAATAATAGGAGCTGTAGTCCCTTGTCTTATTTAAATAAATACTTGCTTTTATGTTCATTTTCCCCTTCCTAATTAACAAATCCTTACTTATTAAGCAATTCTTTCTTTTTTCAGAGGAAAATACGTAAAATAAAAATGGTCTGAATATTTGCTGTTTCAAATCTTGCTATAGCTATACAGGCAAAAAGGAATTAAGTTGAAATACTGAGACCTGCATATTGTTATAGTTATCATTGTACTAACTGAAACGTTAAATGCCTGATTTTTTATTAAGGCTTTATTTTTTAGAGCAGTTTTAGGTTCATGGAAATCTTGAGGGGAAGGTACAGAGATTTCCCACATACCCCCATGCATATATATAGCCTCCTCCACTTCTAACCTCCTCCATGAGAGTGGTACATTTGTTACAGTTGATGAACCTATGTTGATATGTATCATGGTCACCCGAAGTCCATCAAAAACTAAATTAATGTTTCTTATCTGGAAGTTCAATGTCAGTTTTTGTTGTAGTATGTCAACTCAGTAATGTTAAAATGATGTGTAAAGAATTTCATCCTTGGTTACTGAATTCACCTAATTTCATATCTTTAGGTTTGTATATTCTGTCTGGTCCATTGGATAGAATCTGTTAGGAAAAATAGCAAAATACAACCAGTTTTACTATACAACCAATTAAAGTTTGTTCCTGGTTCTAATTGATTCAGAGAAACACAGAGACTGAGACTTGCTCTTATTTTGGGAGTTGAGCAGCTTATAACACTAGAAACCCAAAACTCTACTGCTAGATTCATTCAGTTGTTTAATACACTATTTGATTATGATTTACACTATTAATTTGGAAAGAAAACATTTCAATTTAAAGAGATAAGATATCATAGATGAACTGGAATTTGCAGATTCTGAAGCAGTGATTTTCAGCCTTGGCTGCACATACAAATTGCCTGGGGGCTTTTATAAAAGCCAGTACCCAGACTGTGCCCTGACCAATTACATTAGAACCACTAGACAGTGGGACCTCAGCAATATTTTTCAAAGTTTATTCTAATATGAAGCCAGGGTTGAGAAACTTTGTTAGAGAAAGTGATCTATGTCATTAGAAGCCATAGAGACTTTATTCAGTATTTTCACACTGTTTTAAGGCTTTTGGTGAGGATATTCAGCTTAGGAGCATAATTGCAATTTACAACTGTACTTGAGAGGATATGTGATTCTCAAAAAAAAAAAAAAAGGAAAGAAATGTACTATAGTTGCCTTTTAAAAGCCTCTTTTCAAAATTTACTAGTAAAATGTTAACATTAACCTCATTTATTTATTAACTTAAAGCACTAGAGCTACATGTTTAGTTATAAATCCATTTTATGGTATTTCTACACTTTAGGATATTTTTCTCATAAGCCATAATTTTTTTGTTGTTGCTGTGTAACATCAGAAAGCAGATTTTGAATTCCTTAAATGGAACCTTAATTGGGAATATTGGAAATGGCACCATATTTTCTAGGCAATCAGAGTGTTCAGTTAACATCATACTATTTCCAGTAGATAGTCAGTGTCTTCTAGTTCTGTAGAGGATGTTTCTGTGGGGTTAACAAACTATGTGTTAGGAAATTTGGGGGAACAAATTTTTACTACTTCTTAAAGAGAATATTTAATTACAAAAAATAGTATTTTGACCTTCAACTGTTTGGCCATCACTTATCGAAAAGACTTAGTCACGCATTTAAATACCCTAGGGCTGCCATATCATAACGGGGTACACGTGGCAACTATTGCCATTTCTTCTGCTGTCCTGAGTCACAGCAAAGGAAATAGAACTACCTTCAGGTTCTGAGTCTGCCATTGAGGGTTGTCATAGAAGAGGATGAGCCAAGTGATTCTGAAATAGTGATTATTTCTAAAAGTACTTTTGTTAGATATCTCCTTGAGTTACATATTGTATTTCAAAAGTTACAGTGGTTTTCCCCAAAATAGTTACCTATTTGTTAATGTCTCACATTGATTAACCTTTAACTAATGATAATTTTAAAAATCATACTTGTTCGCTTTTTAACATATGTAGAATATAGTTATGTAAGTGAAGGTTTATGTTTTGTCATATTGGAACAGAACGTTTCAGGTGAAACCAGATCTTTCTTTTTGATCACATTATTTTGGTAGGAACAGATGGATCATACTTCTTCAGGTCATCATCCAAACAAAAAAAGAAAGGTAGCAAAAGCTGAATTTTATCGTGTGTGTGTTTTTATTAAGTAACTTTAATGCTGCAAAAACAAAAATAGAATATATTGGAATAATACTAGATGTAATATAAGGTATATGGATATTTTCATCTCAGTTTTAAGGTGAATGTAAATGAAAAGATAATTACTTTTGTATGCATTATTAAACAAAAATTTATTGAAGTTCTTAAGTAACTCTGTGAGTTACCATTCTGAGTCTGTATACATGCTTCATGTTTTGGTACTTGATTTGCTTTTATGCTTGGCAGAACTTTCAATTTCCATTGTAGGAAGGGCTTAAGGTTTTTATATTAACTGGAAGAAACGTATTTATATTTCAAAAAAAAATTGGATATTAGGAAAGCTAAGGAATGTGTGTGTATGTGTGGATGTGCGTGTAAAGGGGATTTCAGTGCTGGAGGGGTCTTGTGGTTTGATCTCGTTTAACCCTTTTATCTTACAATGAGGGTGCTGAGGCCCTGAAGTCTCCTCCTTTGTGAAACAGCCAAGGCTAAAATCACAAATCCTCTGGTTCCCACTTAGAGATTTTTTTTTAAATGTTTTTTATCATATCATTCTGCTTTAGAAGAAATAGGCAACTCTGAATTTACAAATAAGCAACTTGCTTGATTAAAAAGTAACAAGTGCAAAATATTGCCTCCACATACTTTATATTTTATTTTGGTTTTGCAGCATTTTACAGAAGAAAATTAAGGGATTGTTTTTGTTTTTAAAATACTTTGGTACAGTTACTTTCTACCTAACTTCCTTATTTTTTTCTAACAGCTTATATCTACAAGTCTGAGTATCACATTTGTTTGTTCTGTAGATGTGTGGAAATTGTTAAAATTTAATGACAATCAGTGTGATTGATTCATGTTTTGAATCTCCTCTAACACTCTCCATAGTTTGGATATTGTGAAAGGAGATGTTTCTTGCAGTGCCTATTATTTTAATAGTCTAACTCATATAATACAGTATCTATGACAGTATTTATAATTCTGTTTTGTTCTCAGTGTACTAAATGATGAAATTAACAAACCAGTTTGTATCCCTTTTTTCAAGTAGTAGAATCCCTGATTAATAAAACCATTAGACAAAATACCTTTTTTTTCTTACAATCTTAATAATCTTGTTAACCTCTGAGACTGTGAAAATTTATATTAGGTCAAATTGTTCATGCATTTCATTTAAGCTTTCTTGTAGCTTTTTCAATTAATGTGAATAATGAGTGTTTTAAGAGATATGACACAATGGTGACTTGTCAACTACTGTATTTATATGTGAGATAGACTAGTTTAGAGTTGGCCACAAGACCCTGACATATGAACTTCAGCCTGTTGATGGGTAAATAATGTCTTTGTAAACCTCTCTTTCAGAACAAAGGAAGAATTATGCACGTGACAGTATCAGCAGTGTATCAGATATATCCCAATACCGTGTTGAAGTAAGATGCTTTGATGTTTACTAAAACTTAGAATGAATCTTGAAGGGTTCATTTACTACCAATAAAAACTGTGTTTTATTTCATTTCTATGATGTATTCTATACTGTTTCTTTTTTGTTTTATATTGCATATAGGAGTGAAATCATGCTGTTTTTGTCCTTTTCTGGCTGATCTTTTTCACTGAGCATAATAACCTCAAGTGTCACAATGGCAGTATTTCATCATATTTTATGGCGGAGTAGTATTGGATTGTCTGTGTACACATATATATACGCACACGCACGTATAATCTCTCTCTCTAGATATGCAGATATATTACATCTTTATCCATTAATCTGTCTAGAAGAGCAGATTATTTCCATATTTTGGCTCATAAATAATGCTTCAGTAAACATAAGGGTGTGTGTATATATATATATTATTATTATTTTTGAATTAGTGTTTTCATATATTCAGATAAATTCCCAGAAGTGGAACAGCTAGATCATATGGTAGTTCTATTCTTAATTTTTTGAGGAACCTCTGTACTGTTTTACACAGTGGCTACACCAATTTATAATTCCAATGACAGTGTACTAGGGGGGAAGTACTTTTGAAATTGCTTATTTCGTCATCTGTGTATAGTTTTCAAGCTGCCATGTAGAATGCCTCCTATTGTACAACATTCAAATAATGACAATGGAATAAATTGGGATGATTTTAAGAGAATGTTATTTAAACTGTTTAGAATTTGTTTTTATAACATTTTTATATAGTTTAACATTACTCAGTATTAAAAAGATTTAGCTATTTCATGTTTCAAGGCAGCATTTCCTATGTTCAACAAACCTGCTTGACTTTATTATCTCAGTAAAATAAGCATGAAGTTCTAGAATAATCTTTTTGCTCCTCACCCCTTTGCTAGTTGACTTCAATTAGGTTAACTTTCTCTCTTTTGGAAAATGTGTAGTAAGAGACTGTGTATATATTTTTTCTTTTTTGCCAATCATAAGCATTTGACTACCTTTGTTCTGGATCGGAAAGATGCTATGATAACCATTGATGATGGAATAAGGAAGCTGAAATTGCTTGATGCCAAGGGCAAAGTGTGGACTCAAGATATGATTCTTCAAGTGGATGACAGAGCTGTAAGCCTGATTGATTTAGAATCAAAGGCAAGTTTGTAAAATTTATACTATTTTTTAGGAAGGTCCACAAATATTTATGTTTACGGATTGTTTGCAAATGGGTGAAAGTCTGATCAAATAAAATATTTTTGTCAATGATTTAAAAGACTAATTTGTACACCCTAATAAATTAAAAAATAAAACTGCATAGGAAGCACACACACTATGTCAACCACACCAAATGTATTTGCAGGCTGAATTTGCCATGCACGTTGCTTATTTGTGACTCCTGTTTGGAACAGAAAAAGACAAAACAGGAGTTCTTGCCATTAAATCTCCTTCACTTTAGTGAGAAAGATGATAAAACATACAGATAATTATAATAATTATAAAATAAGAGAGAATTCTGAAAGTAGAAAGCTCTGGTCATGTGATTGGAGGAAGGTGCCTGGAAAGTGACCTTGAAGGATTCGACTTTTCTTTTTTTTTTAAAGAGGGAATATAGGAGATTTACATATGCATAAAGCACCAAAAAGTCTTGCTGAACTATGTAGATCTGGTTTTACTGTGGTACCCTAAAATGCAATTTTTTTTTTTTGCCGAATTTTCAATGATGGGGGTGATAAAATCAATTGTTTTCCAAAGCCAACTCCAAATGGAAACATCACCATAATAGAATGAATTTATTAAATATAAGAAGAGACCTGAAATTTTATTGAAAATGTGTTAAATAATATGATTATTAAAATTGGGGGGAGTCAAATTTTAAAAGTTTGGCATTGTGGGCCCAGAATGGTAATTTCTCTTAATCTCTTAGCTATAGGATGGCTTATTTAGTTGCCTTAGCCACATTTGTGAAGTATTAAAAGAAACGCTTGCTTTCAGCTGGATCAGTTAGTAATATCATTCATCTTTTTGTATCCAGCAGAATATGATTCAGGAAAATGTTTTTTAGTTACATTTTATAAATGAATTTAAGGCGAATCTTTAAAAAGCCTCTGTCTTCAATATATGTATAGTAATCATTTAAATTAGTTTCTGTTTTAGTTTTTAAACAAATCTTAAAGCGTTTTACAAAATTACCTTAAAGTTTTATCAGTGAGGATAAAATATAATTTGGGAAACCTCTTTTTCTTTAACATTCTCTTTTGTTTATACCCATTTAAAAACATTTTTTAAAAAAATGTTTTTAATCCTCACCTGAGGACACATTTTATTGATTTATAGAGAGAGAGGGAGGGAAAGAGAGGGGAGAGAGAGAGAGAGAAACATCAATGTGAGAGAGAAACATCAATTGGCTGCCTCCCACACAATCTCTGACCAGGGATTGAACTCTCAAACCCTTGGTGCACAGGAGGATGTTCTAACCACCTGAGCCGCTCAGCCAGAACTATACCTATATTCTTTAATTTGGATTTTTTACTCTGAGAAATGTCCATGTGGCAAAATTTACATTCTTCCTTTAATGTATCCTCATAAATCATGAAAAATTTCCAAGAGAATCTTCTTCTTGAGATTCTCTAAATGGTTTAAGACTTTCTGGAATTAGGTAACCTGATAATTTTATACCGTTCCTCAAGATTAATTTCTTTCATGTTTTAACTGCTTATACAATAAGCAATCCCATGAAGATTAGGTAGGCGATGGTGCATTGTCTCCTCCTGGCACCCAGACTCTCCCACCCAAGGCTGAGAATCAAGCCTTTCAGAATCCCCTTCGCTGCATGGCCTTGGTTGTCGTTTCAACAAGTAATTTGCATGAGACATGGAGAAAGGAAGTGAAGTGGAAGCCACGATCTGCGGACAGTGCCGTGTTAAGACACAGTGGCTTTGCAGCCTGCTTTAGGAGCTCTCCCGTCAGGGTCGGGAAGTTCTCAAACCTCTCTTCGAGCTGCAGCTTCTCCGTACTGCAGTGCCTTGGGCTGACACCATTAGTAACTAACTTTTCCTGATCTCTTGGCCCCATCCTTCCAGGCCTTCACTCCCCAGCAACCACTACAGTCATGGAAGCCCTAATTCCTGTATTACACTCCTTATTTCCATAATTCTTACAGTGGCTCTCATTTCCTGCTCAAATGCAGACTGATCCAGCTTTATTCTAATCTCTATTAATAAACTTCGTATTATTATTTATCAGAAGACACTCCATACATTATATATGCCAAGTCAGAGATAGAGACATACATTATATATACAAAATTATATTATATATGCAAAACCAGAGAAAGAGGCATACATTTTTTTAACCATAAATTATTAGATGGAAGAAGTGAGGAAAAAATACACAGTGCTAAAATAAGGCCCCAATAGGGCATGATACTTCATGACATAGATTAATTACATGCTAGGCCAAGTCATATGCCAGTGAATGAGTGAATTGGGATGAAAGGATCTTGTGCATATTAACTTTTCATCAGCTCCACAGGAGACACCTTTTTTTTTCACACATGCACTGGCAGGTAAGATGTTGGAGCACTTAAAAGAGGACTTTTCTGAGCCCTGTCATCTAATAACATTTGAACTCCTAAGATAAAGAGAATATTATCATCACATTAGAGTGTTCTGATAGGAGTCGGGGTAAAATTTGCCCTTTCATGTCACCCACTGTGCACTGTAGGAGAACACCTGAGTGCTTCTGCAGTCATCGTAGTTCCAAAGAATTATGGAGAAAGGATATTACTATTTAATTTACTTTAGGAAAGAAAGAAAATTTATTATCTCTCTTGTATGGCTTCAAAGTTACACTTTATTTACTTTTATTGAATATATTGGGGTGACATTGGTTAATAAAGTTATATAGGTTTCAGGGGTACAATTCTATAATACATCATCTCTGTATTGTATCGCATGTTCACCACCCAAAGTCAAGTTTCCTTCCATAACCATTTATCCCCCCTTTACCCTTTCCTATCTTCCCCGACCTCTTTCTCTCCGGTAATTACCATACTGTTGTCTTTGAGGTTTTGTTTTGTTTTGCTTAATCCCTTTACCTTTTATACTCAGCCCCTCCCCTAACCCTCCCCCCTGACAGCTGTTTTCATGGAAACTGCACTTCTTGTTTCCCCTCGGCTGGATATCAGGGATTAGTATTTACAATAAGTTTTTGGTGTGATGTATATCTATGGGTGTCCATAATAGAAGCTGTTTTTTATATTCCAGTTATCAGAGATATCGTATTTTATGTACCTAAAATATATCACGATTTCTCCCATCAATTACATCGTGACACCGCGCACAAGTTGTGTAAAGCCATTACTATAAGGATGAGCACCTTAAATATCTCATTAAGTACAGAATTGTAATAGTGAGCAGAACATTCATTTAAGAAGTATTGTATTTAATCTGTTGGTATTCTATTTGCATGATTATTATAGGTTACAGAGTATTTACTTCTATACCACCAAATATTAATACCTTAATCATTTTGAAGAATATATTTCTCATAGAGATCCTTCTGACCCTATTGCTTTACATTTTTGGCTGGATTCTCTCTGTATAGTGAATTTTTGTATTTGATTCACTGAAATAGAGAATGTACAAATGACATATTATTCTTAGCCTACCATTTGTTTGTATGTATGTATGTATGTATGCAGATATGCATATTTGTATTTATGACTACTCTTCAAGTTAAAAAGAAAAATCTGATATTCCATAGCCAGATGGGAAAGAATATCATGTGAGATGGTGAATAATTTTGGAAAGAGCCCTCAGTTTACTATTTTTTTTTTGTTGAAGACATCATCTCTACCTTATAATCTGAGGAAACCAATAATGTTAAATTCAATATTCTGTTTATTAAGAACATAATTACATTTCTCTGCTAAATTTTCTCCATTTTTGTTGCTCTTTCTGCCACCTGCCAGGTAGCCCAGCCTTGTACCTACTCAACATCCATATCTACAAGTGTTTACTAATATTCATTGTCAATATGCTTTATGCACTTTAAAAATTATTTGTACAATGCCTAGAGCTCTTTGTGGAATAGATTTTATATATACAATAAAAAATAAGGCAAATTATATTTTTACTTTATAGAATGAACTGGAGAATTTTCCTTTAAATACAATCCAGCACTGCCAAGCTGTGATGCATTCCTGTAACTATGATTCAATTCTTGCCCTGGTGTGCAAAGAGCCAACTCAGAACAAGCCAGATCTGCATCTTTTTCAGTGTGATGAGATTAAGGTAAAAAGAATACTGAACTTCCTTTTCTTTTAAGCAAATGTTCTGGCAGCTTTGAATTATTTACTTCAGTCATATGGATAGTAGGTCCTAGATTTTTAGTTTCTTACAATTTAGTAAGGAAAACAAATCCTTTAGTATCTTCCTTAAGGGTTTCCAGGCCAAGTAAAGAAAGGGGCGATAGAATGGTATTAAAAAAATAAGATGCATTCTATTTATTTAAAACAATGTAGATAAAGTATTACATTATTCATTGAGTGACTTGGATTTATAATTAAAAATTGATTCTACAGAAATCATGTTTCATGGGCAATAAATAATCACAATATTGTTTTGTTTTACGATAATCACAAAACATATATTATTGCAATGAAGCACTTAGACATTTTCCAGGATATTGATTTAAAGTTCACCATTTTAATTAAGTGACTTGAATAATTGCTCAAGATTTGTAATGCCTAAGAGATAATGTGAAAATAGTTGAGCATAGTTACCAGTAATAACATGCTATATACTGAAGATTTGTATTTCAAAGTACACTATAAATATTCAAGCAATTATAATTTGTGATGCTTTATTGGACATTAAAAGTTATCTTCAACCTTGAATATCTTTATTTCGAAACTGATTTCTCTAAAGGGAAATCATTTTGGGTTGAGTTGATCGGTACCTTACCAAAGCAGTGATTTATCACTGTATATTTTAAAATAGACAGGTAATTTTTATCTTATGAAGAAATGTTGGGAGATTAGCAGAAAGTGTCACTCAATCTTTTCTGTATTTTTGACTCTAAAATATAATGTGATGAACTAAGATCGACTGTAAAAAGTGTATTTAATAATTTTATTCTTATTTCAATTTATGTCAATTTATTCTTATTTCAATTTAAAAATCTTGAAAAGAACTGTGACATTTAGGTAATTTATATATGAAATATTCCATCAGATTTTTGCTTAGTTCCTTTTGAAAGTTGTAAAGTATATTAAGAATTCTGCAAGGTTAGATTTAAATCAGTAAGTATTAAAATGAGTATTTTGTTATGAAAATACAGTGAGAGTTAAATCAGACATTTTAAAAGCAGAGGACTAAGCTAAAAGACATTTTTAAATGTCTTCATTTAAATTAAATCTGGTGTTTTGCCTCAATATTCCAAAAACCCCTCTGGAAACTGAGAGTTATTGTGCTAACTAAAGTTTCTGCATCTCAGTTTTGAGAATAAAGAGCTTGCTTTATTTGAACAGGGATGATGATATTGATGGATTCTAAACTGATTTACTGAATACTGTTTCATCCTCATTAAAAGTTTAAGTACTACTCTGTAGCTACATACATTTACTCATGGGTGCCATATTTCACATATGAGACTTAATTTTTTCTAGCCCCATTGAAAATATAAAGTGAAATATGATCTAGTTCCTTTTATATGGATCGCCTTGCAATGTCACTTTTGAGTTTTAAAGTTTCTTTATAACGGGACTTTCCCGATGTTCCTGCCCAAAGTTGTAATAAAATTTTCTTGAAATAGCCCCTGTAGGAAGCTCAGGGTCCCTAGGCATCTTCAGTTTTAATCTCCCACGTAACAGAAAGCCTTTGACACGATGTTTGGAGAGTCTTCCTGAAACTTCCTGAAACTTCCGACAGGAAGTTCTTACAGTGATAACACAAGTGAGTTGCATTAACACTCTCATTTAACTAGCAAGGTGACCTTGACCGCACCATCATATGAGTATTCCTTAGTTTACTTAATCATAAAAGAAGAACAGATTAGATAATCTTTAAGTGTCCTTCTGCTCTGAAATTTTATGATTACCTGTGCTTTGGTAGAAGAATATAAAATATATATAAATGAAAAATATACATAATTACAGAGAATAAGCAGTAACAAAAATAGGAGATGAATACATCCCAGCAAGAACCTAATATACAATAATAATCATTGGCTATAAATAAACTTCACAGACAGAATAAACCTCTTTGCTGCTAATCTCATCAATTCCCAACAAAACCAAATCAGATTTTCATTTTGGAAAAGTTGTTTGTTTGGAGAATGTTAATTTTTACCTGAAATGACAAAATAAAGTGGTTATCCATTAGGGCACAACCTAGTATTGGGGTTCATTCCATGATTATAGTGGCTTTGTCTTACGCTTAGAGTAATAACTCTGCTGGTACCGAGTGATTTGTTTCCATGGGTGAGTGGATGCCCAGTGGATCCTGAGGATGAGAGAGGGAAGGAATTCCACTCTCTACACACATGTGCTTCTAACTCCTTCATTTCTTCTCAGGAAGCGATATTTACCTAGTTACATTTTCAGCATATGATTATACTTTTACATTTGCAGATCCTTTTACATATTTGCCTTTATGCAGGAATAGCTGTAAACTAAAGAAAGGAATCTAGATTAAACAATATTTTAAAATTCCTTCAGTTTTTAAATCTTGTCATTATGAAGTTCAACATCAAAAAGAGGAAGGGAATGTTTTGAAAGCTGACTAAAAAGAACACTGTTCTTTTTCATCAAGACACTCATTGATTCAGAGGGAACATAATCCCTTTTTCTGTTTTAACCTACATATCAAGACAAGAAAATCTATAACCTCCGTGGTAACTTGTCTTTCATCACAGGCAAACCTGATTACTGAAGATATTGAAAGTGCAATCAGCGACAGTAAAGGAGGGAAGCAGAAGAGGCGGCCTGATGCCCTGAGGTAAAAACATAAAAGAAATTAAGGGGTAGAATTGATTGGCTTTTAAGCCTTTTTTCCTCTAAAGATTTATAAAAATTACTTTCAATGAAGATATAATTTACAGATTACAACCTGTAATCTCAAATCATTTGCCCTCCGAGGTGTGCCAGCGTGCGTGCAGCCGTTTCCCTCCATGTTCCTGGCCTTTCTCTGATGTGGCTTTTGCCACCTGTGTTGTCACAGTCATGAAAGATGAGTGGCGTTTCAAGGAAGGCGGCCTCCGGAATACAACTGGATATTAGGACTGTAGTTGGTTCACGGCCTTTCCAAATCACAGGAGACCCAGAAAAAGGTTGAACCTAGTTGAACCCAGAATTTAAAGTGTTTGTATTTCTTAAATATAATAGGGAATACTTAGGAAATCCCTTTTGTTCTACTCCTTGACATAGTTCTTCTTAACGTTGGAGAACTAAGACCATAAATTGAGAGAATTGATGTTATAGAACTAGAAATGGTAAAAATTGAACTTGTTTTCATTGTTTTTAGGATGATTTCCAAAGCAGATCCTGGTATTCCACCTCCACCCAGAGCTCCCGCCCCAGTGCCCCCTGGGACTGTGACCCAGGTGGATGTGAGAAGTCGGGTGGCAGCCTGGTCTGCATGGGCAGCTGACCAAGGGGACTGTGAGTATTTCTAGGAACTGATACTTAGCGTTTACTTACGATTGTGACATAGTTCTTGCTTTCAAATTCTGATGCTAATTTCTAAGCTGAAACTTGAGGTTAGTTTTATAAATTTAAATCTTAGGTAAAGGAAAGTTAAACTTGAACACTGCAAGATTGTTATATATGAGAGTTCAGACCAATCATGTAATAAATGTGGTGTTAGGATTAGAGTCTTTTTTTAAAAATGTGGTCAAAGGTGGAAAGTTTGACGCAGCTAACAATGAAAAGGATGGTAATAGAATAAATACCAAACAAGAGACTGTGAATGAAGTTTTTTAAACTTAAGATTATACTTCAAATTCTTTCTGTTGTTATTATCTTACTACTGTTTTCTTTTGGACAAATTGGTTGTGGTTACATGGAAAGAGTGGCGGGACAGCGGTAGGGCAGTGGAAAAGGCGTCCTCCATCTGGCTAACCGTGTCCAATAGGCCCTTTTTGTATAAACCGTCACTTTAACTTGACAGGTATTTGTAAAAACAAATAATTATGAGCATAGAACTTACTGTAACTTTTTATATGTCAGAATATTTTACCAAATTTGAAGTTTTTATGACTGGAAAAAGCCTTAAAATATGCACGGTTCAGTCTCTTCATTTTAAGGGTGAATAGATTGTGATTCAGCAAGTTTGAAGTTGATGAAGACTAGAGCTTCATTATTTTGCCTCCTAGTTCAATGAGACTTCCTTAGACACTTATCCTCTACAGAATGAAGCATCATTCACAGGGGATATCTATCAGTACAGACAGGTAGAACTTGATTGCCAAAATGAGTGACATTGGGACTGTATTTTGTGTCTAGTGAGTGAAAAGTTGGGCTCTGGATCAAGACTGGGATCTACCTGTGTGACCTTGGACAGTTTATCTGCCTGCGTTTCAGTGTCACTTATAAATAATACAACGGGGATAACAACTCATGGGTTGCTGTGAATCCGAAACAAATAATGTCTATAACACTAATGCAAAATAGTAAGCATAATTTGTGATTGTGCTCTTTTTCTTACCAAATTGAGATCATTTTATTTTCTGAAATGGTTTTCATTTTATTTAGATTTCTTCTATCCTTAAAGTTATTTTCAGAGGTTTACACATAAGCTAAGCTGCCAAACAGATGAAGGAAAGAAACCTTTGAAGCATTTATTTTTTTAAAATAAAGTTAACAGAATTATTACTTATTTTAACTTTATAACAGTTTCTGGTTTTAGGAATTATATAAATTTCTATTAATCCATTTTGTGTGTAAATTTTGTATGTAAAAAAAAAAAATTATGGGTTCCTGGGCTCATTAGATTTTCTCTAAATTTCTCTGCACAACCTCGCCTATGTGCGATAAGGTTTTCAGAACTAATTTACTCCTATGCCAAACAGAACACAATACTTACTCTGTGAGGTTCTATATGGGTGCAGGCCAGCTTTTAGTTGGAAAGATCCCCCAAAGAAGTACCTCTCTGGACCTTTTGAAGGCTTTGGCTGACTCAGGCTAAACATCTCCTTTGAATCCTTGCAGTTGCTCTTGCCCTGACTACCAAAATAATCTCTGCAGAACAGTGATAGTGGCAGTGGGAGTGGGGTGGCTAGTCAATGCCACTGAAAAACTCCAGGAAATACCCCGTCTCCCCTTTACCTCAGCCTCCCATCTTACCTCACCTCACCTCTCTGGACTTCCGAATAGCCGTATTTCAAGTTCAACTTGCTGCTTTCAGTAGTGTATACTATAGCCAAGATAGTAGCTGCCCATAGGTAAAATAGCAGTTAACTTGCAAGATTTTATACATATAAATTCTAATTATCTTAAAATACTTAATAGCTACTCATTAAGTTCCATTAAGACTTAGGGAGTTCTTTCTTTCTTTTATTTTTATTTTTGACAAGTATTCCTTTTATGGTGGGAGTTGGACCTAAAAGAGACATAGCAATGCAGAATTTTTATTATTTTTTGTAGTTCTGTATATTGAACGTCATGGGTTATGATGATATATCAAGAATTGTATTTCCATTAGTGATGATACATTTTTCCTGCTCCATCCATACATTGTATTTTCATTTAACCTACTGTGAAATGCATGTGCAAGTTTCTGTGTTTAGTGGTAGTTTTAACTTACTCATACCACCCAGGAAGGAGTTCATGATAATGACCTCATGGTTAACATCATTCTTTAGCCAAGTGAGCTAACTTAACATCTCGAATGCTTTTTAAGACATTTATTCTTTAATTTGCAAGTTTCTGTAGATATTTATCCTTTTAAAGCATATGGCTTAAAATTAATGAGCCCAACATTGAGGGTTCTGAGTTTAATGACAACTAGAATGTTAAGAAACACTATTATCAGAACCCCCAAAGCTTATTGTAATCACAGCATTGGAATACATAAAAAGTAGATGCTTTGTTGCATCAGAATTATTTGGCCACTATTTATGAAGTAGGTGCTTAAGCATGGATTTATATTTCTTGGTTTGGAATCGTAGGGTGCTAAGTTAGGGTTGGTTTCATAGGCAGCTGACGGAGGGAAGAGGGAGACTCGAGGGGAAATTACATGGTAGAAAAGCATAAAGGTGGAAAGCAAGGACTTCAGTTCTGCCTAACTACTTCTGTTAGTGGTGGCGAGGATGCACATCATAGGAGAGCAGAGTTTTGATTTTGTATCCAGTGAAGGTATTCCCTTTTGCAAATGGGCCCTTTTCTAATCAATTTTCTAGCCATTGTTTAATTACCTATATTGGTATTACTTAAGCAACAGTTTGAAAGAGTTACGATTCTTCTTATTCTAGTTGAGAAACTGAGGCAATATCATGGGCATGAAGAAACGCCTGAGATGATGGCAGCCCGAATTGACAGAGATGTGGTAAGCACGGCATTCGTATTGAGATCATTGGCTTCGTTTTCAAATAGGAAAAAATATTTACACAGAAAATGAGGTTGATTAAATAAAGATGTTTATGGAAACTATTTTCTCTTTCTAGTGGCAGTTACGCTCTTTGAATTATTTTTCTTCATAACTATTTGTGCCTTTATGGCAATATTAACTAGTAGACTTTATGCAGATCTTTAATGAGCAGTAAATAGAAGAATTAACATTCACTAGTTTACAAAGGAATTTAAATGGAATTATCAGATTTAAGGATTTTTCGGGGTTCTTTTGTAATTTTAAATTCATAATTGAAATATTTTTTAATGTGTCTTAATGGAATTTTTAAAAAATATTTTATAATGCCTGAAAGATAAAAGTTAGGTGGTACTTCTAAGGGTAGATATGTAAATTCTAATTTCTTATGAAGGATAAGGCTATATTTATTTTATTTTTCCATAGTAATTTACTTGCAAAATGGCGATCCCTTGTGATGTAATCATGAAGTATGATGTCAGTATAACTACTTTTTATGCTATACTCATGTTCAATTTGGAAACAAATAGGAATTTGAAGTTTGGAATTTAATTTTTATATCGCATGACTACTTACTATGCTTAAAAGTACATTTAATCCCACTTTCTAGTTTTTAAATTAGAAGAATGTCAAGTTTCACATGTACAAGAGAAAGTCAGCTAAGACTTATAGTATACAAGATAACAAAGATTGATCTGATGATTCCTGAAAGCTTAGTTCATCATTAATTGTATTTTACCACGTAGAACTGTAAGAACACAGTTACTATATATGCCTGTTACTGTACATTATCTAGGTCTTGAATAGGTTATCACAACATTTTGTATACCTTTAATCCCATGACATAATATTGTTGGTGCTTTATTGGTACATTTATTAGAAAAACAGAAATGCTCAGTGCTTTACTAACAAAATGTTTCTTAGAATTATTTTTCCTTAACTTTATGTGGAGAACATTATGAAAGAATTAGAGTAATTGAATATAATTAATGATCTGAAGAGATATTGTTGAATGTTTTCTTTGTGATATTGAAAATAGAGCAAAATTAAGCTAAAGAAAAATGTAGCTTAAAAATGTAAGTAAAGAAAAATGTCAGACTTAGGCCACAGGTGTATTTAGTTCAATTCTTAGAATTGGTGACAAACCTGAAATTTGCATATGGGAAGTGGTTTTTTTTCTTTATTTTTTTAACTTTCTGATTTTTCTTTACTAACTGTGTATAGCCAAGGCAAAAAAAATAGTTGTGTTTTATATTTAATTATTTAATTTCTAATTTCAGCAAATCTTAAACCACATTTTGGATGACATTGAATTTTTTATCACAAAACTCCAAAAAGCAGCGGAAGCATTTGCTGAGCTTTCTAAAAGGAAGAAAATTAAGAAAGGTAAAAGAAAAGGACCAGGAGGTAAGTTGGATGTTTTTTATCTTCTAAAGACCAATCAGAACATCAGTCATAGGCCATTTCTGCCTTTCTGAACTGCTCAGCAAAACTCCATTGACAGTGAACCGAGGATCCTTTTGTTTTTTATTGTATTTTTTTCCATTATCATTTAGTTCCTTTATACCCCCTCCACCTTAGCCCCGGCATAGTCACCACACTGTTGTCCAAGTTTCCTTCTATAGTTTTGGGATAGCACCAGAGATTTAGGCAGAGACTAAGATTCACCCAGAGAATAGTCCATTCTGGTTTGGAGTTGGCTACAGTTAAGAAAGACTCAAGGATTCTTGACCTAAATTACAGAAACTCTGTATTTTACTCTGAGATTCAGGTAATGGCTATGTGTTGGTAGCAATTATAAAATTAATGTCTGATAAAGAATGTCATACCTCTATTCTTGTCATATTCGGATGTATTTTATTGTAAATATTGAACCTCATTGTTTTGTTAAATAAAAGGACTGACTTTTCTCATTAAAATAGATACAGATGTCAATGGATTTGAATTTTTTTTTATCATAACACTCCAAAAGTATATACAAACAATCTTTTAGAGCACTATAGTTCGGCTATTTAAAAATGTCACCAAAATGTATAAAATTATGATTATGGAACAAAATTCTATAGACTGAAATATATTAAAAAGTAGCAAATAAACATCCCTTTCATTTCCCATGACTTCCAGATCTTTCTCTAGCTTATATCTACATTGTAAGCATGTGAGCTGTATACTTGTCCTGCAGATGTGGATATACCTCACCTCTGTTATTCTGAAATTAAGTATTACTGCCTCCTGATGTCTCACACCACTTAGTGCTCCTGTATTCTTTATGAAAGGTATACTGTCCCCTCAGTCACTGGGATTCAACACCGCAGATTCTTCTATGACAATTCTCTACTGCGTAGTCAACATTGACTTTATTTTTTCAGTGTCTCTTTTACCCAGTTTTTCCCTTTTCATTTTCATAACCAGAATATGCTTCAAACTAGCATCAGTTTTTTACTCAGCTTTCTAACCAGTTGTTAAGCCTCCAGTCTTATTCTGTGAAGAGATTTGTCTTAAAGCTCTAGGACAGTCACTTTATTCTACTGCTGAAAAGTACGTTAATTCCATGTTCTCTTCCTTAAGTCCTCACTCACACAGACAGTCAAGGTCATCCACAGTCTAACCTTGATTTGCTTTAGCATTCTTATGCTTCTTTGTTTTAATGTTGTTATTTCATCTACATGCAATTTCCTTTTTCCATATTTTTGCTTATGCTGTTTTTATCCAAGTATGATGTTTTTCTTACCAAATTGCTCTGGAATAAAACTTTTAAATCTCACCTTAAAAGCTACTTTCCCTTTGAAACATCTTTTAGATATATATTTCTCTATCTAAAAGAACCAGGTGCAGTGTCTTTCTAATAGCACTTAGTTGGTACATCCATGTCTGCTATTAGATTTTAAGGGCCTTAATAGTAGGGCTTGTAACTTATACATTTTTATAGTGTTCATAATAATAAGCACAATGACTGACATTTAGAAGGGCTACAATATAAACGTGTGGAATCAAACGAGGAATTGGTGGTACCTAAAGGCAGAGGAATCCATTTCAAATGTCAGCTCATCCTAATTTGTTATAGTCAGACTGAGACATGGTGGAGTAAGTAGATAGCATGATACCTGGTATGATCATCAAACTTTACAGACATAAATGTGTTTTTATTTTGTATTTTTTCATTTTATGTACTTTTTGGCAATTTGCTCTCATCTACCCCTCCTTCTTATTTCTTTAGAGGGTGTTTTAACTCTGCGGGCAAAACCTCCACCTCCTGATGAATTTATTGACTGTTTTCAGAAGTTTAAACATGGATTTAACCTTCTGGTAAGTGAAATTTATACATAATTAATAGAAACAAATGAAAGAGATCAAAGTTTAGCCAAAATGGTCCTGATTAAAGTAAGAGATAAAATTGTTCTCATAGATTTTCTTTTGTATATATGTTTTTATTTGCCTTTAATTAGAACAACAGATTATAAAACATGTACATCTGAGAGACCTGATCAAGAAAGAATGACTCCTTTTTTTAAAAAACTAAATTTTCCTAGTCTGAGTCACCCGTGTTAATTAATATACTAAAAAATGAATCTAGTCGTAAGAACTCATCATCTGAGTCTATGTTGGACATCCTTGAATGTCTGCCTTTCACTCAATTACATCATAGTAATATGTTTGTTTATTTTCTTAATGTTACAGGCCAAACTGAAGTCTCATATTCAGAATCCTAGCGCTGCAGATTTGGTTCATTTTTTATTTACTCCATTAAATATGGTAAGGTGTTATTAATTTAAGAAATTAATGTTTTTCCACCCCAAGTGTCTATTTAGATTAGATAGTTTTTCTATATTACCTTGCTACCTGTGAAATTTGAGAGTTTAAAAGAGCCTTGGAAATCATGTATTTTAAACACCTTACTTTATAGCTGAGCACACTGATGTCTCTGACAGAGCTAGGGAAATGAAAAGAAGTAAAGATTTATTGGATACTAGTGTTTCAGCAGATTCTAGTATAGTATAAATGGCATGAGTAATAGAGACGTTTTTCTCTTTCTCACAAAACAGGCTAGGCACTAGGAGCCTAGTGCTGGATGGATGGCTTTCCTTCACAGTGTTGTTCCAAGACCCAAAGTCTCTCCTTTGAGGTGTTCTTTTATCCCCTGAGCTGTCTCTGATTCATTGGTTCGTTTATCGATTTTATTTAACAAACACTAATTGGCAGCCTGCTGTGTGCTTGGCATTATTAGTAGCTCATCAGGACCAGAACCGATATAAATTCTTACCCTTTTAGAACTGTGTATCAGTATGAAGGGACAAACAGTAAACTAAATAAATTTATAACTAACACAGTTCACAAAAAATAAATGGTGTGTGAAAAAATACAGCAGGGAAGGTGAACAGGGAGTTTCAGGTGTGCATGTGTATGTGTGTTAACAATTTTTGAATAGAGTTGGTTAAGGGAACAACTCACTGAAAAGGTGTCATTTGAGCCAACAAAGTGAGGCATGAGTCATGTGGATTTCTGAAGAAAGAATTCCAGGCAGAGAACAGCTAATGCAAATGCTTTTAGATGTTAACATGTAAGTCTTGTTCTTGGAATAAATAGGTGACTTGAACAGAGTAGGGGAGCATATCTCAATTAGAAGGAGATGAGGTCAGCAAATAGGCAGGCATACCTTGTTTGTCCTTATATGTGATTGTGAAGCCTTTGACACTTTCGGAGGGTCTTCAACAAAAACAGATTGCCCTGGCTGCAATGTTTAGAAATTTGGGGAAAGAAGGGACTGGGGTAGATATTAAAACAACCCAAATGAGAGATTACATTTTTGGACCAAGTAGTATTGGAGATGATGAGAAAAAGTCAGATTCCAGTTATAAATCATAGAAAAAACAAGATCTGATGGTAGATTGGATGTGGTATACAAGAGCCAAGGATGTTGCCAAAGTTTTTGGCCTGAGACTGGAAGGACAGACGGATTAATTGAGATACCTGGGTAAAACGGATTTTTTGAGGAAAATAAGAAACTCAGTTTTAGTCATGTGAAAATTGAGATATATCCAAATGGAAAAACTTGAATTGGTAGTTGAATATTTGAATTTGGAGTTCATGGAGAAATCAGGCCTTCAGATATAAATTTGAGGATCACCTATGTATAGAAAGCATTTAAAGCCATGAAATCAGATGTTGTCACCAAGGGAATGATTATAGATAAAGAATAAGGACTGATGGAACTTACGGCATTTTCAGTGTGAGGGGATTGGGAAGGACCAGCAAAGAAGATTGAGAAGTAACAGTCAGTCAGGAGAAGAAACACAAGTTTATTGTGGTGTTCTGGAAGCCAAATGAAGAAAAATGTTGCCAAGAGGAAGAGTTAAGCCGCTACGTTGGCTATCCATGGCGGAAGCTTATCTCCTTGTCCTGGCGAGAGCTGAGCAGAGTCAAAGAAAGACAGCTTTGTCTTTAAAGGGGTAACTCTGGACTTCAAAAGATAATTTCTGCCATTATCCAGTTGGCCTGAACTTCCTCACAGGGCCACACCTAACACCAAAGGAATACAGTTTCCATCTGTGTGGCTATGTGTGCATCTAAATGCAGAGCCTTCTCCTTCTAGAAGGAAGAAGAGAGTGGATGCTAGGGGACAAATAGCAGTCTCTGGCCTGCACACTGTGTTTTTGGTACAGTGATATGCACATAACACAATATTACCCTCAGAAAACTTCCTTCTCATATATGTACATTTTTGTACAAGGTATAATTCTTGAAGCTAACAAAATGGTGTCCTGGGAACAATTCCCTTTGTGAAGGGCTGGAATGATATCCAAGAAAAGGGAATACTACTTGTGTCTTAGGCCAGGGTCCAAGATACATATCTTCATTTTCTAGAATTTTAACATCCGGGTATGCTCTCTCCTTATACATTGAATGAAGTGGGCACAGTCATGGCCCTCCTTTCCCATTTTACATTTCTTATATTTAGAAATAGTATAGTAGTGGTTTTTCTAAACTGGCCCTGTGTGAACAGCCTCATCCTGCTGGAGAGCTGGGAGAATGAGCTGGAATAATGTCTAAGGGTACATGACGGAAAGTGCTGAAGCCTGGGGAGAGCCTGGCAACAGAGAGCAGACGCGCAGTTGTTGACCTTGCCCGCAGTCGGATCCAGAGGAGGCTGGGCTACAAATCACCTTGTCTGTAATTCTACAAATTTGATTTAGGTCATTTCCCTTTTTGTAAGGAGGACAGGTGAGAGAGAAGAGGAAAAAAGGTAGAACTTTCTTTTAAGAACTTCCAAGAGGACAGAGTTTCCTATTTTGCGGGCTAAGGCAGGGATGTGTGGAGTGACTGGGAGTGGGTCACCCCGTGGAAAGAGCAAACGATTACTTTGTAGAGTGATAAGAGCAGTAGAGTGACAATGGTTAGTATTGCTCTGTGTATTATTTCTATGATTTTTTTAAAAGAGTAGGAATAGTAACTATATGAAGCAGATAAATTTCACTATTTTTTAGTTTAGAGTGCTAGATTGTGGTCATTGAGTTCTTTAATCTTTATCAAAAATGGAGCAAATTCAGCATTTCTCATAGGTTTTACTTGAATAGCAGAGAAAATGGGGAAAAAAGAGAATCCAAGTAATAAAAAGGAATAAATCTCATTCTTCTTTCACCAAGGGTAACCTGAAGGACAGTATGAAATTAATATTGCTTAACAGCCATAGGAAAGTAAGTAACATTATTAGCCTGAATATCAGAACTGGGCAATAAGAAATTAGAAGGTGAAAATCCAAAATGACATCAGTAATTTATGAGTGCTTCCATATGTTGCTGCTGTACATAGAGCATCAGATTTCTACTTCTCTAGTTATTGTTGAATAATTCTTTCTGTATAAACCTTTTTAAAAATTAAGGCCATTCATATGCGAAGAAACTGATGTGAAGAAGCTCATTAACAAAATTTATATATTTTTATTCTATAACACATTGGAGTACAAGGAAGTATTATTTATAAAGCAGTTTTTGCCACCTCCTCTCATTCATTTCACACCTTCACAGATGATAAGTAGATACCTAGTCATTACATAAAGTAGAAGTATAAAATAATGGGTCTGTTTTCCTTAACATAGAAAATTTAGTCATTCTGATTAGGCTCTGTATCTGAAAACATTGATTTATTTATTTTTCCTCAAAAATGACTCCTTATTAATAGATAATACTTCTTATTATTAGAATAATAATATTCTAGAAGTATTATGCCCCCCCCCCCCCCCACCAAGCATAATACTTCTATTGCTTCATTTAATGTTCTGCCTATAGAGCCCCAGGCATTTTACTTGGGGATGGGAAGGAACATTTATTCAGACCTGACCACCAGCCAGACAAAGTGTAGTGACTTTACACCTTGTGAGTCCCTCCCTAGTCTACCCTCAGCATCGGTATGCAAGTGTAGGCACAGCGCACATGCACGCACACGTGCCTGCTCACATTCCTGACAGGGAAGGACGGCCCATAGCCTTTTATTTACCTCCTTTCATTTTATTCCCCCTTCCCTCTGTTAAAACAAAGATTCTCACTTTTTCCTCCTAGTCATCCCTGCGTATTTACTGGAAGTGCTAATAGGGCTTGGAAGTAAGAAATGACTCTGTCAGGCTGTCAAGGTAGATTTTGTTCTTAAATAAGAGCCTACCTCCCTTATCCTTCGGTTTTTCTTTTGTTTGTTTTCATTCATTCCCTTAACACTGTGTCTTCTGCAGTTCAAAGTGAGATAAGTCTTGGTCCAAGTCCTCAAGGGAGGAGAAACTGAATACTAAGCCATAAGTTACAATGTAATTTGTTACTAATAAGCATAAATGATTTTGGGGACACCAAGGTGCATCAGAGTTACACTGTGGAGTTAAGAAGGGCTTCCCAGAAGAGGTGGTAGCTAAGTAGAATTCTTAATGATGGAGGAGGGCCTTCTGGGAAGCACCAGCATGTGCAGACCCTCAGAGGGATCCTCCTGCAAAGCGGTCTCAGAACACCTGGCTGGCTGGAGAGAAAGTGACTTTTGGTCTGGTACCATTCAAAAAAATTCCATTTTTCTTGTGCCATATCTCTGGGAAGGTGAGATTTTTATAAAAGGGCTCTGGTTTCTGCTCTAGGAGATAATTACCGTTCTTTAGTCAGGAAATAGCCCCTGAGAAGTAAATTTGAAGCTGTTTTTGGAGATCCACTTATCATCACTTGGTTTATCAGAGAGTTACACCTGTTTCTGTTAGTCATTAAATTATCCATTTCAAATCAGAACAATTTCCTGGAAGTAAATTCTGTGAAAAAAATACATTCTTTCACCTTTCTCTCTGGATCCTTTTATTTTTGTACATCTTTATAGGCACAGTTACAGACTGTTAACCAGAGCATGTTTCTCTCTGTAGTCTTCTTTTCTGGAACCACATTTTTCAAGTTTGGCATAATAGATTTGCAGTAGAGATACATTTTTTTTTTTTAAATCAGAGTTTATTAAACTATATGACTTCGAATTTTCTGCATAGACATTAGTATTTTCCAAGTAAGGTTCAGTCATAGACAAATTCTGTGAAAGCTGTTAAATTATTAACTCTTTGTTTTAGATTATTAGGCACCAGTGGGCTGGACAAAATGATTTGGCAAGCTGTTTTTTGATTCAGTAGTGCATTGCACAACATCAAAATTTAATTTGAGTACATAAAACCAGTGCATGGCTTTTGAAAACATACAAATAATTATCATCTTCTTGCTAAAAAATAATTTATTGTCATTTTAGGTGGTGCAGGCAACAGGAGGTCCTGAACTAGCCAGTTCAGTACTCAGCCCCCTATTGACTAAGGACACAATTGACTTCTTAAATTATACTGTCAATACCGATGAAAGGCAGCTGTGGATGTCATTGGGAGAAACGTGGATGAAAGCCAGGTAAACATATATGAGTTTAGTATTTAATACCTATCATATTTATTGTTCTTTGTTTATTACATAGATCTAACAACACATTTATTTAACCTTCTATAACCTTCTATGTATGAAGGAATAGGTGTTATAGATGAAAAAGCCTAAACTCATAAAAGGCCAAACGTCTGGTAGAGAAGATAGAAGTGTATGAAATATAATCAATCCTTGATAAATACCAAGGTGACCCATAAGCAAGCTGCTGTTTGTTGGCAAGGTGGAGCAGTCAGGAAGGGGATTTAGAGACGAGGGTAGTTGGCTTTCAAAGAAGAACTGGCATTTAAAATCAACAGATAAAAACATTAGGTAGATATATATGTGTTTCTATGTATACCTGTGTGTGTACATATACTGTCTGCTAGTCACTCTTTCATCCTCTTTGTGCACAGGTACGGTATTATTGCTATTTTACAGATGAGGAAATTGAGACGTAGAAAGGTTAAATAATTTTCCCAAAGCTACACACCTCATAAGTGGCAGAGCTGGGATTTGAACCTAGGCAATCTGGCCCTGTAGTCAGTGTTCATAGTTTTTCTCCTACACTGCCTGTCGGCAGGATGAGTAGGATTTCCACGAATACACAGAGAAAGGGCCTTCACATAGGAGAAGCTCTAGGGAAGGCATGAAGCAGAAGTTCAGGAGACGAGTATGACACTGGGTTTAACTGGAATATAGCCTTTGGGTAATGAGTGAGTGTGGAGAATGGGGAGGAGCAACGGTGCTATATGCGGCTCACAGAAATGGGCCGGGCTGGGGCAGGAAGGCTCTGGACACCACACCGTGGGGTTGGGGCGAGGCTCTGCAGGCTGTGGAGAGCCCATGACTTTGTGAAGCAGAGTGTGACATAAACCCAAATGTTTTAGAAAGGTCACTGTGTTAGTCGAGTCTAGTAAGGACAAGGACAGAAGTGACTAGAGGCAAAGGAGCCCCCTGGGATGGTAATGCCATAGTAGAGGTTAATTGTTTTTATTTTTAAAAAAATTTTATTGTTTATTGGATAATATTGATTAATAAAATTATGTAGGTTTCAAGCGTATGTTCCTGTAATACATCATCTGTATATTGCATAGTGTGTTCACCACCCCAAATCAGATCTGGAACTAGAATTGTTGCAGTGGGAATGGAAAGGAGGAGGGGGCAATTTTAAGAATTGTATCTTATCAATAAAATGATCGTGGAAGACAAATCATTAACAATTGCAGTTAATGTTAAAGTTTGCTGAGCAAAGCAAGTTGTAAGAGTTTTTCTCTTTTCCTTATATGTGAATAAATACTTTTTGCTTTCCTTACTTTTCCAAATCCTTTTATTTCTCGCAATACTTAAGGTGAATCATTCACTATGGTCACTTACAAGCTTGGCTTCCTAGTGCTTTTGTCTGCCTACAAGTAATGACCTCGTTCACATTTTTTCCTTCATTCTTCTGTTGAAACAAACCTACATTTTAAACTTTGGCAACTGCTTTTGTTAGATATAGTTTACACATTGAATGGTTTACCAAGCAGAATACTATATAAAAACAATAACTGAAGTTATTGAGAGTATCAAATTTATTTAAATTACTTATATTAATATATCATACTATTTATATATCATACCATATAAAAACTGATTAAATAGGTTTCTTAAATCTGTTAGATTCATGTGGATTGTGATTTTTATGATAAGCCTAGGTAAGATATTTTAATTTTTATAGTATTAGGAAGTGAATACACTGACTTGAAAACTCCTGAAGATAAAAATAATCATGAAGGTACATAATAATCTAAATACAATGGCTAATTTCATCATAGTAAAAATATAATCTAAAGAATTAAACCATGTAGGAGAGAGAAAACAACATATTTTAGCAGAAATGAAGCTATAACTTCTGCCCTCCTTATGTTCATAGTTCATAAGTGATTAAGAGCCTGTAGAAATACACGTCACTCATAGTCATTAATTAGTGAATGAGTAATGATGATGATTACGGATTAGTCCTAACTTGATTTTACTGATTAAAATGTAGCTGATGCATTTAATTTATGAATTCCGTAATGTTTTATTTTAGGTGATTTCATAAATTAAAAAACCATAAACCTTAAGAACATTCTCTGCTATTTTCTCTTTTGAAAAATATATCTAATATCAGGAGATTTCATAATGATAGGAGGGGAATAAAGTGAAAGATGACAATCTGAAACTACTTTAGGTGGTAGAGAAGTTTATGCTCTAAATACAAAGCATGTTTCCTTCCCAAATTTTTGAAAACCCATATCCATGTTTAAAAGGTGAATTAATGGGGAACTGAGACATTGTGGTGAAAACAGGTAATGAAGCAGAATTCAATTTTCCTTTCATTTTACATGTATTACATATGAGTACAAACATGTTCACTGGATTCCTTTTTTTGGTGGAGGGAGAACAGATTAAGTATGCGTTGTTTCTGTTATTTTATCCATTTGTTTTTGTGTTTCATGGCTAGCCTTACTAAAAATAATCTCGAGCATGAATGCATTTCTTAATTTTATTTTATTTTATTTGTCTCAATATCCTTCTACAGAGCAGAGTGGCCAAAAGAACAGTTTATTCCACCATACGTCCCACGGTTCCGCAACGGGTGGGAGCCCCCAATGCTGAACTTCATGGGAGCTCCAGTGGAACAAGACCTTTATCAGCTGGCTGGGACTGTGGCCAACGTAGCAGAACATCAACACAGACATGAAACAAAAAGATATTCCACAGAGGTAACGTGTTTTTTTTAACATATCCTTTGCAGAAAATGCAAGGATCTGTGCCTTTTCTTGTAATTCTGATTGTGAGTTCTCATTTCATCTGAAGGTTGTTCTAGAATCAGTGATTAAACATTCTGCTGTCCTTCGTTACCTCTCTTTCTCTCGCCTCTTTGTCATTGTTGTGACAGTTGCTGTTTCCCTGTGAAGCCCCCACGTGAGCCCACATTCTGTCCAGCGGCCACCCCCCGCCGCCCCCTGCCCTGTCTGGGCTCCGAGCCCCAGTGATCCTGCCTTCCTGAAGTGTGTACTTTCCCTCCTTGTCAGGGAATTGCCCTGCTGCCACTTGGCTTATTCTTTCTCCCTCTCCCATCATCAGAGCCTCAAGACATTTCTCAGAACCCAGGTTCCTTAAGCCTGCCCCAAGCAGCTCTTTCCTGAGTGGCCCATTTCCTCCCTCCCTCCTTCCTTGCTCCCCCACCCACACACAACTCTTGCGTGCCCCCCCCCCCCGGCCTGGTTTTAAACCTCTAAAGGCAGTCCTATCAGCCTGGTTAGAAAGAAGTCCCAGCTTCAGATGAACATTTACAACACTATTATACTTGATGAGATAAAATTTATTGTATCTTTTGTATAGTTAATAAGCTTCACAGTAAACCTATTTGGGGAGCAAATTAAGAGATTCCTTAAAAATGATTTTTCTATAACTCTTGTTCTGTCAGAAAAGTAAACATTGGTTAATGTTGAACCAAACTGAATAGGATGATCAGAATTGAAGAAGTAAATAAAAGAGATCTAGTTTGGAGAAGAAACAGTAGTTGATGACTAGATCTTTGAAATCCTGGTCATTTTATTTAATCTTTTAGATTAATTTTCTTGGACTCCTTTCAGTATTTATAATGTAGCGAATATGATATCAATGAATGAATTAACAAATCACAGTAAATCTTTACTTTTAAAGAGAAAAAAATTATATAAATTAAATTTCTTAAAATTGTTCCCTTGAACAACAGCTATAATATTATAGAAGATCGGTTAAATTTTGAAACTTTAAAAATAAAGCAAACATACCGCTTTAAATAATTTTTTTCTAATAAAACTTTTTTTTTTTTAAAATAAGAGTATACGTGGATTCCTTAACCAACCTTCCCTCTAATTGAGTAATTCAGAAGATTACATCATAGCTCTGGGCATTGGTTGGCAGGCATATGTCCCTATCTGTAATTTCATAGTTTAGACCTCATCGCTATGAAATTTTTTTCCTCATAGAGGGAAACATTTCTAGAGGAAAAAAAATGTAATCAAACATGAAATTATGATACACTTGCCGTTGCTATAGTTACAGCTGACTATTTTCAAATGATAGAAATTTCCAGCTAACAATCTTCATATCTTAAATAAGAAAATATATCTACTTTATAATTAAGCCTTTGAAATTCACATTTGTGAGTTCTTTTTCAATTTGTTTATTTAAAGAGAGAGTAATATATTTGGGGCTTCCTGTGTAAAAGTTTGTCTACTCTTCACTGAGTAAGTAATTTTAAAAGAAGACTTATTGAGAATCCTTTCTTATAATGAACTACCATTTTCCTGTTGTAAGTTATTTTCCATTTTATGGCTTAAGTACTTTTTCAGAGGTTTAAAAAAAATAAAATTAAAGGTGCTTGCTAAAAGTTCTAGGGAATTTTATACCCTAAGACTTTGTTGGAAAAGAAGCCAAGTAATGGTGATTTAAAATGCATAAAAAATGCAGTCATCCCCAGAAGAGAGATTTTATTGTACTTTATTGCTACTATTATAAATACAATCAGGACAAGACTTGGATGATTCAGGCTTTGTTTGCAATCAAAAGGCACAGCTGAAGTGGAGTGACAGATACGGTGGCAATACTCAGCTTCTTTACTTCCTCTGAACCAGCAGCAATTCTAACCAAGGTTGTGTAGTCATCACAGGTAGTCACCTGGCCTCATTTCTCTCCTCCCTTCTGATGCTCCGAGTCACTTTCAGGACCGGTGATTTCATCCTGGCTGACCTCGCCTTGTGGTGTGAGCTCAGCAAAAGGTGTGGGTGATCCTCACAGTTTCCTGAACTCCTCCCTTTATAACAGCCTTCAATAAAAAATTGTCTAACCATCTAATTCCTCTACCCTCTTCTAGGAAAATGATAAACTGAATTAATTAAGCCATTTGTAATTTTAGTTTAGTATAGTTTTCCATTTTATTGAGGTATAATTGACAAAACATTTTAAGGTAAAATAAAATATCTTTTCATGAAGTATCACTACAAGGTATTGTAGTGACTTGATGTATAGTGAAAGGAGTCCCTGATCTAGTTAATTAACACACTAACATACCCATCACCTCACATAACTATCTTTGTTGCTGCTGAGAACATTTAAGATTTACCCATTTAGCAAATTTTAATTCCACATTACAGTGTTAGAAATTATAGCCACCATGCTTTATATTAGATCCTCAGACCTATACACATAGCTCTCCCTATTTTCCCCAGACCCTGGAAACCACTTTTCTACTTTTTCTATGAGTTTGACTTTTTTTTTTAAAGATTCCACATGTAAGTGATACCATGCAATATTTGTCTTTTTCTTTCTGGCTTATTTTCACTTAACATAATGTCATTAAGGTCCATCCATTCATATTGTTGCAAATGGTAAGATTTCCATATTTCTTATAGCTGAGTAATATTTCCATTGTAGTATTTACAGGGTGGGGCAAAAGTAAGTTTACAGTTGTTTGTATGGAAAATAATATAACAATTAATAAATAATAATACAAGAATAAACTTTATATTTCGTGTACTCACAATCGTAAACCTACTTTTGCCCCATGCTGCATATACTATATGGTACACCAACCACGTCTTCCTTACCTACTCATCTGCTGATGGATACCTAGGCTGTTTCCATATCTTAGCCATTATGAATAATGCGGAAATGAACTCTCCAAGATTCTAATTTTATTTTCTTCAGTAATATATCCAGCAGTGGGACTGCTGAATCGTAGTTTTATTTTTAATTTTATTTGTTTTTCTTCTTGAATAAATTTTTATTGTATTTTTTCCATTACTATTTATCTCCCTTATACCGTCTCCCACCTCCACCCACCCCACACCCCATTGCAATATCCACACTGTGTCCATGTTGGTGAGTCCTTTTTCCTTTTTGCATCCCCCTGTACTTCATTTTATGTAAGGTAATGATACAAAATCTTTAGATGAATGTGTTTTTGTTTCTTTGTTTTCCCCCCATGGCTTTAGAACCATGCTGCTCACTGAGATCCGTAGACATCCGTGTTCCTCATGGTTAGTGCAGTAAGCGAAGTCTGAGTTATATTAGCTGCAGAAGGAAGTGACTGCAGCATTGTCTTCTTCCGGCTTATTGGCTGTTAGGATCAGTGTGTTTCTGCTTTTTTGTGTTTTCCTTAACAGTAAATCTGATAATAGTGCTGCCATTTTAAAAAAAATAGTGTTTCTACAAATTTTTAAAAATAAGAAAAAACTAGAGAGTGGTATAATTTTAATGCACAGAGTTGAAATGATTTTCATGTGATATTTACCTTGCTAGAGTGGTAAAGGACTGTTTCTTAAACATAGAAAGCAAGGGTTAAGGGTTTTATTGGTGTTTTTAAACTGATTTTATTTTATACAAGCTGTTAAAGCCTGCCTAATACTAAAATCACCTATTACTAAAATTCCTAAGGAGTTTATAGGCATACCTCATTTTATTGTGCCTCGCTTTATTGCTCTTCACAGATGTTGCGTTTTTTACAAATTGAAGGCCAGACCAGACACTTCAACAGCAAAAATATTGCTGCTTTCTTTATTGTGATACTGGCCTTCTTGTGGTGGTCTGGGACCAAACCCCTAATATCTCCAAGTTATGCCTATATTGTTTTTATACCTGGATATTCCAGAATTAATATTTAGCCTTTGCTCTAATTAATTTTCTTACTATAAGTTAGTCTTGGACAAAATGTATCCACCTCATTTCATAACTTACTAAGTTAATGGTCAATCACTTGAAAATGAAACTGATCACAGTGTAGTGGAGTGTCCTTATTGATTGATATCAGTGCTGATTCAATTAATTAATGCTGGTGGTTCTTTAATCTCTCCTTCTCTGTCTTTCAGCAATCCAGTGTATCCGAGTATCTTCCACCTCCACCTGATGGGTATGCATTCAATAACATTTACACAAGAGGGTCCCATCAGGACCAAGGAGAAGCCGCTGTTCCTTTTAAGCCAACTCCTAATCGCCATGTGGATAGGTAATATTTCATGGGCATCATTTGGAGCATTGGGGCAGTCTCTGAGTTAGTGCAAATAGAGGTGCTGGTGTCTGCACTGTACACTACTTCTTTAAACTTTCCATCTGTCAGTTGTTTGATAAAGTTTCAGTTGTTGCTTCATAGTACTGGCTTTGATGAACAAAGCCTCCAGTCTGTAATTCTAACTGGAGGACCTCCAGGCTCTAATTCTGAGTGCAACTGCTTTTGGATGACTTTTTCTTTTTAAAAGGATGCTTCTGACAAAATCTGTGAATTAAGAAGAAAGAATTGTTTTGAAATTCTCAAGTAGTTTGTACCAGATGGTCTCTAAGGATTTTTTCCAGCTCTGTAACTCTTTCCATCTTTCCTCTCTCCCAACAAAAACAAACAAGCCTTCCTTTAGATAAGAAATATTTAAACTAAAGATAAACTAAATATTTAAATGGAGTCAATACCTTATATGCCATTTTTACCATTTCATCTTACTGTATTTTGTTCTCAGTTTCCGGTTTTATATTTCCTCAACTTTCCCATATATTCTTCCTCAGAAAATTTGATATAGGCAGACATGGGAAATTGGAATGGGGAAGAAGTAAAGGAATTGGAATAGGGTCACTTTCTTAGCCTTGCTTTCCAGCTGCTACCAGTGAGGTTGACATAGAGGCCACCCCATATACATAAGACAAAGAAAAGATGAAATATCGGTAACAAGGATATGGGAGAATGAGCATTCAGATGAAGTGAGGTAGACCGCTTGCTTTGATACTCTCCTACCTCAGGCCTCTCTCACCACAAGTGTTGCATGCCCTTTACTATTATTTTCTGCCTCATATTAAAGTGGCCACTTTAATAGGGGAAGGGTGACCGAACATCCTTAGTCCCTTTTGCTTTTTATCTTGTGTACGGAAATGTGAGGAAATGTGGGAATATAAATGGAGGAGAATGCTAGGGAGTAAAAATAATAAAAAAACAGTTAAATTTATTTTATTAAAATGAAAAAATATTCTCCATTGATACATATCAGGTTTTATTGTAGTATATGTAAAAGTACTTATATTGTTAAATATATCAATGGTAATATAATGATTAAAGGAAGTATTTGGTTTTTTTAAGAAAGTGTATTTTTGAAATATAGGACCCTTAGACATGTTCTTCCTATTAAAATAAGTTTATAGTGAATTAATGAATGAATGAATTAGGAAGTATTATTGGTTTGTAATTAATCCATACCTCCCCTTGTAGTTTAGATAACTGGATAAAGCTTTCCTAAAAATTAACAGTCACAATTTTTAAGTATATATTTGGTTAATAAATTGAACACACTGCTTGAATTAGTGAAATTAACATATAATTTAAATTACCACTATGGAAACTGTCTTCAGTTTCCTTTAATTTTATGTAAAATGCTAACATTGATCTTTATACTAATTCTTTGATGGTAAGGAAGCTAATTAACAAAGCAATATCTAAAATGTATATTTAGAGGTTAAAGAATTCATAGACTTGCATTCTAGATTTGGCTTAGTACCAACTATCCTTGTGATTTCGCATTATTTATTTTTGCCCTAGCTGTAGTTTGTTCATTTTAATAGTAAGAACTCCAGAGTTGTTTTAGTTTTTACATTCTGTAAAATATAATAAAATTAAACTTCTGTGAAAGTTACTTGTCAGAATGTTTCCTGATAGGAATTGACTTGCCTTAGTGTTTTAGTTCTGTTTTCAGCCTTTCAGAAGAGCTAATAGAAAAATCTTTTTTCTTCCTTTTTATAGAAATTACGATCCACTTGTAACACAACCCAAGAAATACGCCAAATCCAAGTATGACTTTGTGGCAAGGAACAACAGTGAGCTCTCAGTTCTAAAGGATGATATTTTAGAGGTAATAGAATTTTACCTTTATGTACTCTTAATAAAGTGGATTTATTATATTCCTCTTTTGGTTTATACCTAAATCTTTTTCAAAGAAATGTTGAGGTCAAGAAATTATTCTTCAGTGTTACTTTATTTTACCAAGGGTAGAGCATGCTATAGATACCTTCATCTACTTAGGAGGGGAAGCTGCTGTCTCTGTTTGTTGTTGGTCGTTTGTTTCTTGGGCGGAGGCGAGGGGCAGGGAGTGGAAAGAGGCGGGGAGAGGTTGGGTTTGTTGGCTTACTTTGTGCTCTTCCTCCTTCCAGACTTTATTCATTTTGGAATCAAGGTTGCTTATCAGTTCACATGTAGATGTACCATAATATTTTAGTAAGAGAAAACAGTGTCCTTCTGTCTATCCTAGTACCTGGCACAGATATACCCAGCACTGAGTGAACTAATGATTGTGGGAATAATCTACCATGACACCTAAGTATCTTATCTTAGTTTATAACTCAATGTTCATATTCTTAAATTATAATGTGGGATAATCACAGCAGGTTTGGGGGGAGGAAGAAGAAGTTTTTATACTTTTGCTTCTATTCCAAGAATAGAGACAACCTGTAGACCTTTCCAAGTGAGTCACCTTAGTCACCTGTAAGTACTTTAGATATATTGCAAATATATACTTTTGTTAGGTAGCATAGGCCTTGGGTAGATTCATGATAGTGGTCCCATACCTGTGCTATACTAATAATTGCAATACTTAGTGTCATTCCTAGGACTCATTCATCCCACAACATGTTTATGCTAAGTCAACTTAATAGAAGTTAAAAAAGTTTTTTGGTCTAGGAATAAAAATTGAACTTCCTTTATAGATTGGTTTTGGTACAGAAATGACATCTTTATTTTCTTGCTTAATGACAGATCCTTGATGATAGGAAGCAATGGTGGAAAGTTCGAAATGCAAGTGGAGACTCTGGATTTGTGCCAAATAACATTTTGGATATTGTGAGACCTACAGAATCTGGATTAGGGCGTGCTGATCCACCATACACACATACAATACAGGTAATTATGATTTTTGAGCAAAATTTAACAAATTTCAAAATCCATCACTCAACTAGGATTTAAATGCATTTTATGCATTAATCATTTTGAGAGTTAATTGGTTGTACAATTTATACAGTTTTTTTCTAGGATATTTCAGGGGCAAGGTGAGAGGCATAGGGATGAAGTATACATATGTTTTATGGTTTAAATCTTTAGGATATTGCTCAAAATGTTTGCCAGCAAATGACTGTTTTCTCTGAATGCTGTTTTTTTCATTCTACAATGTTTCTGACATTTGAAGAAACAGCGCTTCCGCCTCTGCACTCTTACCCATAGCCCTCCTGTTCATTGGCTGCTTCTTGTTAGATGATAACGCTGAGACGGTGGCCGAAGCATCCAGCAGTTCATCTTCACCAGTCTTTGCCCTCATTCTCGTCAGTGTCCTGCCCCTGACCAGCCTTGAACTTGCACTTACCTCACCTTACACCTGAGTACTTATTTATTTTCCCCTTCCTGATTTTAAGATTAAAATGTGCTTATGATATAGGTTGCATGAATCAGGCTTTCCCTTCTCGATCATTGATTAATTCTTAAGTCCTCTGCACCATTTCCAGAATTTAAGTGGGCCTGGTTCTCTCATTCACCCTAACATCAGAATTCACTTGCTGTTAAAATATGGAGATTTTTGTCTGACAGGATCTCTGTTGAGTCAGATCTGCCAACAGAGACAGACTGGATGGATTATCCACGTGTAGCTTCCAAGCCTGTTCTGGCTTCTCTCTCACATTCCCAGGAAGAATTCTTTTAACCTTCAGAATCTTGAGCAAAAGATTATATCTGACCACATGAACTTGAGTAGAAGCAACAGAGAATGTGCCGTGAAAGAGTTAACGTTCATGCCTAGGCTTAGTAAAATGCAGAAAGTCCAAACCTAGGATTGTGGTCTTGTGCTGTCACGACCATTCATGGAAGCCCTTCTGGCCCCTCATGGCATGCGCTCCCGGTAGGGCCCTGCCTGTATCCACGCTGACTCTGCCTTATGAGAATCCAAGAATCAAACAAATGTTTAAAATAAAGAATTAGTGTGCAATTTATATAGCCTTATAACTTAACGGGACGGCAGTGGAAATTCTGTTTGCTGTGCTTATGTTTTGGCTGGCCTGATGTGCATCTATATTTTGTACTTATTTTATGTTCATTATTTGTCATTAGCTGTTGATGCCAAAGAAGGAGTTTGAGTTATTCAAGGTATGGTGTACTCCATTTCCCATGGATTTTTGAAGTGAATTTTCTAACCTGATATTAGTACCTTTTTCTTTCCTAAGTTCTTACTTTTCTGATTTTGCGATGTGGTTTCCTGATATAATAGAGGCTTCTGTTTGGCTTATAAATGCTAATTCTTCATGTTCTTTCCTATAGAGGTTTTGACTGAATTCCTTAAACAGCATTAAAGAGTGTATGCTTGAAATGAATGCCAAAAACAGTAATAGAGTATAATCCCCTTTGAGCTCTATAGACTGTTTTAATATTTAACTCATGGTGGGCTATAAAAGACACTATTCACAAAGGATATCCCCAGTTGTTGTATGTGAGCACAAGCCAAGAGTTTATATTTTAGGCGTTAAAAACAACTATTTATTTCTACTTGTGCACATAGTTGCTATAAGCAGGCAAACTTTGATAAAATATCTAAAACTTGCAAATAATGTAATCTTTAAGTGTTCTTCCCCATCCCAAGTTTTCCTAAGGAGTTTAACCTCTCTTACTTTCTCATATTTACTATTTAGGCTTGTCTTTTTCTTCAGTTTTGATTTCTGGCTTGAACCGTAGTTCACTGTTCTGTTTAAAGGCTGCTCCTGTTTAAAGTTGAACCATAACTATTAATACATATCCTAGATAGAGTGAATACTTTTTGAGAACATAAAATCTGTCCCTCTTTTTTTGAACAGAGCCTCATCTTATATTTTTGTCAACTTTGGCACAACCAATAAAAGTGCTCACAAACTCCAGGAGTTTGTTTTGCTACTTTATGTAAATAAAAACTGTGGGGATTGCCTGTTTGGGCTGCTCCCTTTAAAACTTTTTAACACTATCTGACTGTCTTCTGAAAATTTCTGGATGCAACTCAGAAGGTACTGATATATGTGGAAATGTGTATAGAAGCTCGGGGGGGGGGGGGGGGCGGGTGTGATGTAGGTTGAGGGCCCGGGTCTTAAAAACAATCTAGTTTTTTAATCACCTCCTGAAAATGTTGGGGCTGAGCCCAACAAAACCACCAGAATCTTGTAAAATTTTAATAAGCAAGCTTGACAATCTGCTCTCTGCTATCTGGCATAAATATTATTGTAAAATGATTTCTGTTCTGGATGCCTGCATAACACCCACATGCACACACACAAAACGATTAGACTACAATGGAGAAGAAAAAAGCATCTTTGGAAATATATGTCAGTCATTTTATATCTCTAAACAGTGTTGCTAGATACCTTTATCCACGACATCTTAACAAAAAGTACTGTCGCTAACTTCAGATTGACAATGAAGATTTATGTAGATTCCAGTGATCCTAATACCCTGGCCTTATAGAACTCCACAGGATTACAAACAAATCAGAGGCAATTCTGTCATATTCATGTTCTCCTCATTTGTGCCGCAGACCTTTATGGGATGCTGGCACCTTACACTCGAGGAAAAGGAAAAGACAGAAAGCCTGGCCCCAAACATTTCCTCCCCGAAACCCTGCTGTCCTTTCTGCTCGTGTATCAGGAACAGTGACCCTCACTCTCCTCAGAATTGGCTGATGTACGTTTTCCCCATTTCTTCCTTTCAGTAATATCGAAATTTAGACAAAATTTAAAGAAGCTTCCTGCAAAACCAGTTTATAACCCTATACCCCTGTGCTGTACTGTACAACGATCCCTTACGATTCATTGCCTAAGCCTCCTTCATGTTCACAGAGAGCAGTGATACCATACTCCACGGTGGGCAGGGCCAGAGGTCGCTGCTCATGCTGGGCGCCTGGCATGGTTTAGGCACTTCACAAATACTAGTTCATTCATTTCCCACCACGACCTTAAGGAGGAGGCACGTTTAGCACCTGAGGAAACTAAGGCACAGAGCAGTGGCTTGCCCACAGCTGTGTGCAGCCGGGACTGGGACTCAGGCCTGTCGGATGCTCCTACAGCCCAGGCTCTGAGGTGCTCAGCGGGTAGGGGAAACGGTTCTCGGGAGAGACTGTCATCTCATTTTGTACAGACATACGTGTTTTCGCTGTGTGAGTGCTTGAAGGGATATTTTCCTAGAATAATTTCACCATGCCTTGTTCAGTGATAAAGGTTGGTCTGATTACTCACCATTCATGAAATTGGATTTTTTGCCTTATGCATCTACTTTTTGGATTTCAGTTACTTAATTTTTTTATAGTTTAGGAAAATAATTCAAATCATGTAATTCACTCAGAGTGTAGACATTTGGTGAATGTTGGGAATAAGGGAATCAGGTGTAAACTATTTCCACAGATGGGGCATCTGTGTCACCCAGTGACTCTGTTTTCTTACCCTTACATTGCCTTCCTGTAAAGAAGTGTACGCAGACAGTGGCAGCTCCTGGGGGAAGGGCCAGGAGCAGCCCTTGCCTGTTGTTCGCACTTTCCCGTTAGAGATTGTCTTTTCATGGCAGGGATGCTAGTACCTGGACCAGTAGTGAATAGGTGTTGAATTGCCACCTGATGTCCCTGAGAATCAGCCTATTTAATATCCTCACCTTTGGAGTGATTTTTAACAGCTTGGTAAAGACAGGCATCCCCACCTAAGGTGTTTCCCCTGTGGCTTTATCAAAGTTATAAAAATAAATGGAGGGAGCTAATACAGAATTTATGAAAGATATGGAACATAAAAAATACTGAATGAAACCACAGGGAAAGGAGGTAAATGCTTAATGAGATTAGGGAGAAGTAAAGGTAAATGACATGTCTTTTTGATAAAAATAGTGTTGTAGAGCATAGCAGGGCTTTGTGGCATTTTAGCTGTGACAGATGGACATCCAGGGTGCTTTGTCCCCACCTGAAATCCACTTGCTACATCAAGTTTCCCATCTTTCTTTTGACTCGATGCCCAGATCTCTAGCTCTGTGACTGTTCATCTGTGAGAATTACCATTGTGCCCATAAAGATTCTCATGCTGTATGCCAAGAGCAGAAACCAGTCCCCCATTATTTCTAATATACTCAAAGGTTTTATTAAAGAAGTCTTACACTTACTATTAATTATTTCGTCTATGTGCTTATTATAGATATTCTGACTCTCTCAAGATGCAAATTCATTATGAATGTCTAGACATTACAGTCCTGTGAAAGCAATAGAAATTTTCCTGTCTTCTCTGTTCCTTAGCAAAAGATACTATGCTACTCTGGGAAAAGCCCCAATCTAGGTATTGGTAGACAAGGCTTCTAGCCCCGGTTCTGCCACTAACTAGTTGTGTGACCTCAAAGAACGTGTTTTATTTCTCTGTTCTCCAGTTTGCTCTGCTGTGAAACGGAAGGGGTCAAGTTTTTGATCCCTACAATTCTGTCTAGATGTAAAACTTTGTTATTTTCTATATACATATATAAAGAGTCCTAAATTAAAAGCGGAACTGTTTTCTACAGGTAACTCCTAAACCACTAGCTCTACTAATGTCGTGTTACGAATATTTTGAATGTTCTTTTTCCAGCTCAATCCAGACATTCAGATACTGCTGGGCAGACAGTGCCCACTGCAGTGAAATGCCTTCATGGTCATTCGGGCAGGCTCACTGATAGTCTTCAGTTATTTAAAAACGTTTCAAAACAAGCTCAGAGTCCTCTATTCATCTATTAATTAGAGGCCTGGTTTTTAGACAAGGGTGGTTAATCGGGTATTGCCTCACACATTAATAGGTAAATTCTATTTATATGTACAGGGATGGGCAAAAGTTGTGAGTACACGAAACAGAGTTTATTCATTTATTTATTAATTATTATTTATTTGTATTATAACTGTAAACCTACTGTTGCCCACACCTGTATATAAATATGTATATAAATTATTGCCTAGCATGCACATGTACAGAATTATAAAATTTCCTGTTTAGACTGCTTACAAATTCAAAACTAAAGCTCCCTACAACCTAGATATATATTTCCTTTTGTGAAATCAGCTTTATAGAAAAACTAGTCCTACATTTACTGTACTCTGTATGTTTTCTTTATCAGCTGTAAGAATAAAATGAACCTATATCTTAATATTTTAAAAACACAATACTCTAATACACAAATAGTTACTGAAATACTCTATACTGTTGACACTGTCCTGTGAGTCTATATAATTAGTTTTCCATGGCTAGATAAGAGTGATGGAAATTAATTATATATTTACAATCTCCTTCACTGGTTGATTTGTGGGCATGTAATTTTACTGTCAAAAGCTAATTTGCTAACATTTTCTGATGTTTGATATGAATTATAATTGATATTATTTTAGTTCCATCTCCCGTGCTAATTTTTTCGTTTGATGTGGTTTGCTCCATTTTCTGAATAGCAATTACTTGGTGAGCTGTCAGAGGTAACCCCTGTTTGTTCCCTCATGGCACTTCTTTTTAATACAATTTTTTGTGTTCAGTCTCTGGACTTAACACCCTCCAAATGTTCCAGCTGTGCCTACTTTTCATTGCAGAGTTCCAAAGAAACCAAATTTAGAAGAAGAATGTGTAGGTTAAATTTTTAAGAACAGTTCGATTTTAATGGCTTTGTTGGGCTTGCTTGCATAATTTCCCCCATGAAGCAGTGTCTTGCATGAATCAGGAGCTTATCTCTAAATAACTTTATTTAATCCTGGAGAATTTTTACTGAGCTTTAGTGGTTGAAGAAAAGTGACTCATTCAGACTTAATTATCAATAGGAATGTAAATTTTCCTTAGAGGTTAGTAATTCTGACTTATTTCAGAGAAACAAAAGACAGATTTTGTTTTAACAGAATTTTATAATATATTTGTGGGAGATAAAAGGCAAGAGTTGGGAAGTGACAGTTGCGGTGAAAACATAGGTCAACACCAAGGTGACCAGTCATCCTGGTTTGCTCTTAACTGAAGGGTTTGTAGGGACATGGGCCTTTGAGTGCTAATACTGAGAGATTGCTGGGCAAACTGGGGAGAATTGGTTAAGATTTCTTTTTTGGCTTTGAAGTTTCCGAGTCCTGGGTGCAGCAGAAGAAAGTACAAGGTGTAGTTCTGCTCCTCAAAACTTACCATAAGGTGAGGGTACATTGGAGTCATCAGTTCTTTACCTTCGATCAAAAGCAGCCAAGAGACAGAAATGCTGAAGGGAAGGGAAGTACGCGGATGACAGACAGGGAACGGGGAGAGGAGGCGGTCGGTGGGGGGGACAGAGAAACGTGAGCTCAGGCGTCAGTACTGATTCTGTTTCCTCACACTGAGAATGACAAACCAGTTTCCAAAGAAGAGCTGACTCGGTTGTCATTTCAGAAGAGGGTGTAATGATTTGAGGAAGGCATCCCCCCGCACCCCGCCTTTGCATTTCAGGGGTTGGAAGCTTGAGGCAGGAAGAGAGGGTCAAAAAAAGGGGAAAATATGCAAGTAAATAAGATGTATGCAAGTAAACATGCAAGTAAAAAAAATTTTCATATGGTTCTTCTATACCTTAATCAAATATACATACGTATGTAATATTTAAGCCTAGGATTCTGTCAGGTCACACTGATAAAGTTGCGCTGTATGACAGTGACAGGCATACGAAAGGAGGCCCAGATGGCCTGGGGAGCCTGTCTGCAGGCCCGATTGTGACAATGAGACACAGCGTATTCAGCTTTTCACAGTATTATTTGATGGATAGCAAAACACTAACTGCTCTTGTTTTTATGAAAGCAGAAAATATGCATTTTATCATGCAGTACAGAGCTAATAGCATTTTTTTTGTTAGTTTAAGCTTTAAAAACAGCAATTTAAACTCTGACATTTTTGAAATCCTGTTGTGAGAATTCACTAGCCCTTCATGTAATTATGTGCAAAGGACTTTCCTGTCAAGGGAACATTGCATATATTTTAATCAGATGACTTTGGTGTGTGCTAAGTATTACATTTTGATGATGTTTGCTGTATTTTGATTGCTTTAAATATTTTATTGGCCCAAATATAGGAACATTGTTTTGTGGGGAATAATCATAATAATAAAATAAACACTTTTATTTAAACTATTAGAAATCTTTCTAGGCCTTGAATGGTGAGGGGTCAGTAATTTCTGCTTCTCTCCCATCCAGCTCCGTTGCTCGCTCCATGAATCTTAACCCTCTGTTCCTTCCCTTCCTGCCTTTCTCTCTCCTTCCCCTTTCCAATACCTAGCAACATTATAAAAGCTTCTCTCCGTTCTTTCATCCTTGCTTTATACCCTTCCCACCTTCTCCACCCACTGGCTGGTGAGTGGTAGCTTTTAAAGAGACAGCAGAAAAGAACCCGGCTCCTTCGCACGCTGGTTTCCACAGGTGTTACTCATTTGCTGTGAGAGCAACTCTGATGATGGTTGGTGTGTTGTTTTTTGAGCACTGATTTACTTAAAAGTGGTATTTGTGTGTGGTGTTTTTTATGTTTTTGATCTCTGTGGAAATTGGGGAGGCCTCATTTAAAATCACCATTGCCTTATATTTGGGCCAATTTAGAAATTAAAAGTAAACAGTACTGTTTTAACCAAAGGACCAGATTAACAAAAGGCCAGCATTTTGCATTTTATCTGCTAATTCTGGATTTAGAACAAATTGTGCGAGTGCAGTGTCTATACTTTACCCAAATTATAAGTCCATCTCTCTGTATCTCTGACTCTACCAAAAAAGAGTGCCTTTTGAGAATTTGGAACTTGTTATAATGCAGTTTTCTATTAGTTAAAATTATTTTGGTTAAAGTTTTAACTTTTGTGTGTAGTTTAAGAGGGAATATGCATAAATACTGTTTTATAATGATTTGCAAGTTATGAAAATTATTGCATATTCTATCATATCCACCTTTTTTAATACAAATCCCCATATGGTCTTTTTTCTAATACATGTTTTTGAGTTTTAGACATCGTTATATAATTAGACCATACCATTACCCTCACCACTGTCCATCCACAAACATTCCCATTTTAACAAGAAAAACATCTCATGTTAATAAATTAGCATTAGGATAATAGCACAAAGGATTATAATGTGAATAAATGAACAACATTTTAAAACTACTTGTTAACTGTAAAGCAAAGTCTTTTTATCAACTAAAATATTGCCCCTCTTTTTAACAAATTACTTAGAAACAAAATTAAACATTTTTCAATATACCATACATTTCAAGTAAGGAATAAATAATATTTAGTGATACTGATATTTAGACTTCAGTGCAATTAGAAGTTTTTATTCATGGAAATTATAAAATAATCAAAAACTTTTTGACCTACCTTAGTTGTGTGTGATTCCACGTTCAAATTTAGTTTTGACATTTGCTACTATTACTAATATTACTATTTCCTATTGGTAATATATCTTTTTTACTCCTTAATTTACATTTCGATTTTGAACAAGTACATAGAGTATTTAAAACATTATTTTTAATGATTCTTATACCATATAGGATCAGAGTTGTGTGTGTGTACACATACATACTTAAATTTGCTATGGATTGCAAGTAAGTGTCAAATAAATAGCCAAAAATGTACTGTCAAAGCATAATTTGTTTTCCTGGGCAAGGTTTATATTTTTACAAATTTAAATGAATTGTTTGTCTTTTTGTAGAAACAAAGGATGGAGTATGGTCCAAGAACCACTGACCCTCCCTCTGCTCCATCTCCTCCTCCAACACCAATTCCTGTTCCTGTCCCCCTTCCACCAACTACTCCAGCACCTGTTCCTGTGTCAAAGGTCCCGGCAAATGTTACCCGCCAGAACAGCAGCTCCAGTGACAGCGGCGGCAGCATTGTGCGAGATAGCCAGAGACACAAACAACTTCCTGTGGACCGTAAGTTTCCCAGGGAGGCAAACCCCCCACCGTCCCCACAAAGGACATTTAGTATTGTCTGCAGACGTGTTTTGGTCACAGTTGGGTAGATGCTACTGGCATCTAATACAATAGGTAGAATTCAGAGAGGCTTAGCAATATCTCACAATGAATAGGACATCCCCCATCCCTCAACAGGATTATATGACCCATAATGTCAGTGGTACTGAAGTTGAAAGGCACTGATTTTGACCAATATGATACATTATAAGCAGTCAGTAAATATTTGCTGATAATATCATCATAGTTTTCTTGCTCCTCTTCTTCATATTTGCCATTCTCACATGTACATACACACAAGCATTCTAACATAATGTGATCACTCTGCCAGTGGGAGGTTCAGACTTGCTCTCCAAATTCATATTTTTTTGTACTGGATTGGCCAAGAAGTCTATTTAGTTTTTCTCATAAAATAAAAAGACAATTTTTTTTTATTTTCACCAATAGCTTCATTGATTTGGATATTTTGACTATATTGGCTATCTCTCATGTAGTATAACATTGATTGTTCTCAGTTAATGTCTTGATTTGATCACTGTCAACTTCAACTGGTCTACCTGACTGTGGAGCATCGTCCAGCAAGAAATCTCCAGCACGAAACTTCACAGACCACTTTTGACACATTTGATCAGTCACAGCACCTTCTCCATACACTGCACAAATTTTTTGCTTTTTTGCCTTTCTTGAAATAATAAGCCATGCTATACTGAAAATGTTGCTTATTTTTTCCATTTTCATTATTAAAATGACTACACAAAAATTCACCAATTTTGATAATTTTTTTTAAATGCAGACTGATATGACAGCTGTCACAATACAATCTAATGAAATTGTTTTGAATGAAGTTAAAGACAACTAAGTGCTACTAGAGCCATCTTACGGAAAAAACCAAACGAACTTTTTGGCCAACCCAATAGTTGAGATTTCAACTTTATTCTTTCATACATCTAAATTAGATTTTTTGTATGAATCGTTTCTATGAAGACCAGATTTAAATAAACAAAAAGAGAAGACACTGTGGCCAACTTTGGATTATCCTTGCTAGTACTGGGAACAACAGTGTAGATAATTTGAAAACTGAAGGTAATTCTAGGATAATATTTATTTTGTTTTACCTTATTGTATACAACTGGTCTATTTAATTTTTAAATTATAGCACTTGATACTAACTGAGCTATCTATGTCCTAGCCTTGTGTCAAAGGCTTGTCATGTGTTGTGATAAGTGTGTTTAGGAAGTGCAACATTAAAACAAAACCCATGAGTCTTTGAAGCCTAGTATGTAAAAGATACACTCCAAGTTATATAACTCATTGACCCAATTTTTAAAAAATCTCTAAATTACATTTTTTGATATTATAAAATTACTTTGCTTTACCTGTACTTAATAGGAAGATATTTCCTCAATATGATAAAAGTATATAAAAAGTGTGTGTGTGTGTGTGTGTGTGTGTGTGTGTGTGTGTGTGTGTGTAAAGGATGTCATTTGTTCAATATGGTCCCTCCTAGGGCTCCGTTCTGGGTTCTTTTCTCCATAAACACACTTTTACTGTAGATCTATTTCCCTTTGCCTCCATACCGTCTGTACTGATGGAAAAGAAACGACTCCCAAATTTGTCTTCATATCAAATCTCATCTGACATATAGGTACATGTATTGAACTATTAACTTTATAGCTGAGATGAATGCTTAAGATTCAAGTTGAAAACCAAATTATTGAATCTTTCACTCTCGTGTTATTCTACTGTTTTTCTCACTTCAGTAAATCCTAGCCACATCTATTCATTTGTGGTCATTTTAAATTAAAATAGAACAAAAGAGAACACTGAAACTATTACTATTTAATTATTCTAGAAATTCTGGTTAAATGCATGAAGCGTAAGCCTGCTTTATGCATCACTCTCTCTCTCACTGGGTAGCCAATTTAAAATCACTTTCTTATCTATGTCTTGACCTTTCAAAAAAAAAAAACTAATGGAAAAATGAAGTTTTGAAAAAACAATTAACTCTGTGCAGCAAAAAGTACTGTGTATGTATCTCTGTGTGTGTGAGAATGTGTATGTTCAGGGTATGCTATTAAATGTAAAAATATATATTTGTGTATTTTTAAAAGATGTTTATATTTTTTCAGACACTAAGGACATACTTTTGTGATGGGAAAGTTCTATAAATGTTTTTATTGATTTCCCTACGGAAGAAAAAAGTTTCCTGTTAGAAATTAGTGTTCTTTCTTCCTTCTTACTGCGAGCTGGTAACATTTCCCTCTTTCACTACGTCAGCACAGTAATCTCCGCCACTGGCACTGTTTCCGGCGTGGGATCGGAGTTCAGAGGCACCCAGCCCCCACATGCACAGTCTGTGGATTGGGACAGTTTGTTCTTTGTCCTTGTCTAAAAAACTAAGAATAACCTAATGGGAAAGAGGCATAGTTAGAATACTTTAAAGATAGAGAACTCTCCTGAGAATTGTGACTCATAATCTTCAAGTGTGTTTTTCATAAGTAAATGAGTGACATTGGTATATAAAATACAGTATCTCTCCCCAAATTAACACATGTACTTGTTTCTTTAAAGTAATAAAATTTTACATTTATTTCTATAAAGATTTTTTTAAAGATACCTCAAAAGTATAGTTTGACATTATATTTTTTATAAAACAAGTTATTCATTGATAGATTTTTACTGAGCACTTTTGGAGAACATTTTATTTTCTGAATGAATGTTGGCACTTCTCAGCTGCCTTTAGAACCAAATACACATGTTATTGATAGCCAGATTTCTCTCCAAATATGCCTATATATCTAGATTTTCTGTTTATTGCCTAGACTTGTGATAAAAATAACATGGGAAGAACTGTACAGTGAATACTCAGTCATAAAAATGTTACCAAATAGCCATGAACAAGGAAAAAAGTCAACATGGCTGTTTTTAAATGTAACAAGTAGCAAGAGCCAGGCTCCTTTCGCTGAAGTGTAACTGTGGTTGCCTATTCAAACGATCTGCTTGGAGCTGAGTCATATAAGCTTTTCAGATTGATTTATTGCAGGATTCAAAAAAGTTTCCCTTCACTTTTGAAGAATATCAGTGCTTTAGTTGTTTTGTATTTCTTCCATTTCCTTTGAAATGTTAGACCTTATTATTTGAGTTTAATCTTTTGTAATCAGAAGTGTCATTTTAGAAAGAGGTGTAAAGTTAGTCTGGTTTGTTGCTCTGTCCTGGAACATTGCAAATGGAAACCAAAAGCCAGGAGCACCTTGCAAGAGGTGTTTGTCCTCCCTGGAAGGTGATTATGCTGTGGATGGCGGATGATCATGCAGTGGCTAAGTCAGTTGATAAGAAAATAAATCTTTTAGTGAAGTGATAATTTTTCTCTTATTCTTTTGAGATGTACTCATATGCTCTATGGCAGTATGATGTAGTGATTTAAGAGTTAACAAATGAAATGCATGTCATATGTTACTTAACTGTGACAATCAGTAATTCCTCTCCCTTTTTCTAGCCTCCTCATTCTTCCCTCCTCTCCCTCTCCCCCTTCTCCCTCCCTCCCTTCCTTTCTCCTATTTTCTTTTGATGACTTCTTCAAAAAGTTTCCTGAATACTTGAAGCATTAAAAAATTAGACTGAAATAACACTATATGATTTTTTTTCACACTTTTGCTTATTTCCTAGGGACACCAAACTCCTTCTAAAATATTCTCCCTGAAGGGGGTGGGGGTGGGAGAGAGCATAGTACAGTTGTCACCAGGATTCCTGTAGTTACCAGTGACTTGGTCATTGTCAAATACCAAGTTAATTAGTTAAGTGGGTTACCGTATCAGGTCTTTGTACTTAATCCTTGAAGGCGATATACAAATAATGTATTGAAGTGTGCATTTTAAATACACAAACACGTTAGTCCCTTTCCTATACTTTTATTCCTTCCTCATTTTTCTCATATAGATATGTTCATATACACATGTTTTTCTTAAGCATAAAATAAGTAGAGGAGAGATATGGTTGGTAAGTCAAACAAAGGTAGTTTCGATGACTTTGGCCATAAAACGACTGAGTCAAAGTCAGAAAAACCAGTTCTACTATATTCTGCTAGTAATTAACCATGATGTTTTGACCCATCTTTTCTCCTCTTTTGGCCTCCATTTTCTTACCTAGTTATTTTAGTTAACAATGTGTTTCAATATCTCTTAGTGAAAAAGTCAGCAGAGTGCCTCATACATTCATTCATTGACTCATTGGTTATTTATTGAATCCCTACCTTGTTCCAGATAAAGGAAATGAAACAGGCAAAACTTTCTTTTCACCCAGGGTGTTTATTTTAATGAAAGGAGATAGATAAGTTAGTAGCAAATATTAGAAGTCACTAAGTGGCCTGTGGAGAATAATAAAGCCTGTGGGAATAGGGAGCACTACTGGGGAGGAGGCTGCAGTTTTAAATCGGGGAAATCTAAAGGGGGGTGGGGCATGAACCACGGGGCTGTGTCGCAGGGGGGTGGGGGCGACATTCCAGACAAAGGCTCTTAAATGTGAAGAGCACCAAAGAAGCCATTGTGAGTGCGAGTGAGGGCCTCAGGGAGAGCGCTGGGGTTGGAGGTCATGGGGGGCCTTTTCCAGGGAGTAATTTGGATCTCCTGGGAGGGTTTGGAGAAGGGTTGCAGTAGCTGACTTATATTTTAAAAGGGTCGTTTCAGCTGTTGTATTGAGAAAGGAATGAAGAGAAGGAAGGGCGCGCACAGCTCCATGAATATTTTGCCACAGAAACTGGAAAACTGAAATTGTCATTAGCGAAGTTGGGAGATGGAGCATAAAAGCCAGCTTCGGGAAGAAGATGAGCAGCACGGATATGGACACGTTATATCTGAGATCTCTAGTAGACACCTAAGGGATAAATACATCGAGTAGACAGTTGGTACATGTGGATCTGAAGTTCTGAGGAACAGCCTGGACTGGAGAAATAATCGTGGTAGTCATTAGCTTTTAACTGCCTTTAAAGCCGTGAGACTGGTCACAGCGGTCATTGGTGGAGTAAGTGCAGGCCGAGGAGAGGTCCCGGGGTGTGCCCTGAAGCACTTTAACCGTACGTGGTTGGAGAGATGAGAATATTAAGGAAAGGATACTGAGAAGGAGAGGCCAGGGAGACAGGAGGAAAATCGGGAGAGAATGGCATCCTGGAGGCCACAAGAAGTGTTTCACGGCAGGATCACCTTCAAATGTTGCCAATAGGTTAAATGAGGCAAGGACTGGGAATTGACCTTTGGAGTTTAGCAAAGTGTAGTGGAGGGAGGGGGCCAAAAGCCTAATTACAACGAATTTAAGAGAAACTTGGAGAACGGGAATTGGTATAGACTGCTTTTCACAGAGTTTTGCTGAAAGGGGAGCAGAGAAATGGGCAGTAGGTGGGACGGGGTATGGGGTCAAGAAAGGGCTTATTTAAAGGTGAGAGAAATAATAACAAAATAATCGCATGTTTGTATGCCGATGAAATGATTCAGTAAAAGAGGAAAATTGATAACATAGGATAAGTAGGGGAGACATTACAGTCAAAGTATTTAAACAGAAAACAGGGTCTAGTGCACCTGCAGAGCCTGCCTGAGGAGCTTGGAAACAATACTAGGAAGGAAGGGAGGGTGTGTGTGTGGGGAAAGTACTGGGAGCTGAGGAGAGCGGTTACGGGAACTTCTGGAGATTCTCTTCTAACTTTACTTCTTTCAGAAATTAGGAAAGTGACATCATCACCATAGGGGAAAGATTGGGGAATAGGTCTTGGAGGTTTGCAGAGAAAGAAGGTATTAAATACTTGTGTAACAGTGGGCAACTGTATGGTCTAGGAGAGGATTTCTCAACCTGAGCCCAAATGGACATTTGGGGCTGGGTAATTTTGTTGCAGGAGATTGACCTGTGCCTTGGAGAGTGGTTTGTGCCTCCCAGGCCTCTAACCACTACAAAATAGTAGTATCCTTCCCCCTCCTACCCTAATTGTGACATCCAAAAGTGTCTCCAGCCATTGCCAGATGTCCCCTGGGGTCAAAACCTCCCCCAGTGGAGACCATGGGCCTAAAAACATGTAGTATGATTGTCAGAGGGCAAAAACAACCCAGCTGAGCTTCATATTCATGAATTTAACATGAGATCATTCAGCATTGTTGTGTTATACTCAGTGTGCAGGTACAGGCACAGAATAAGCAGAGAGTTACATTGAATAAGGACTGGGGTTTTGCCAAGTGAATACAATGAAGAGAAAGAAGAAAAGGTAGGGAGTGGTTTTAATAATTGATCACAGAATGTATACTGAGTGAGGATGAAAGCAAAGAAAGAAGGTTGGAACACTAGTTCCAGTAACCCTTCCATGCCTTCCGCCCCATAAGTCCTCTGGTGTGGAAGGGTTGTTGGCATTGGGGTTCTGGAAAGAGTGACATATGTTAGGAGTTTTCAGAAATAACCTACTCCGTGTTGGTGTGTAGGAAGGAAATCCCAGATGGAGGAGGTGCAGGATGAGCTCATCCACAGGCTGACCATTGGCCGGAGTGCCCAGAAGAAGTTCCACGTGCCACGGCAGAATGTGCCAGTTGTCAACATCACTTACGACTCCACATCAGAGGATGTGAAGACATGGCTACAGTCAAAGGGGTTCAACCCTGTGTAAGTCTCTCTGGGAATACTTTACAGCTTTGTGTATAAACACGCATTGTTTTCAATTTGGTCACTAAGATGTCACAAATGACTCTTAAGAAATGTGGGAGCCCAAGCTGCCTTTGTTTCATGCTCAGGAAATGAATGCAGCTATAAAAAAGAATTGGAAGAAGCAGAAATAACTGTTTTTTGATGGCACCCCATTTTCTAAATGGTGGTGCCCATTCATCATCAGTCCCTTTAGTAAACTGTCAGCAGCTTTGAGGCTGGTAGCTTTCCAATTCCCTTCCCTGGTCACACAGGGTAGGGCTGGTCTTAGCTAGACTCCCCACACCATACATCTAGCAGAATCTTTCCTTCTGCTGCAGGATATAGATTCCAGGCAAATAAAATAGATAATAATACCTATTGTAGAACATAATCTAAAAGGGCTTTTCTTTAGTAAACCTGTGGTAAAATTTCTAATTTACCTATAGTTTTGTTAATAGATTATTTTTTTTAAAGGCTCTTTTCACTTGATTTTATTTGAGTCTTTATACACCTTAATTTTTAATTGATCTAAACTTCACACAAAGGACATTTTTTTCATTGCTTTTAGAGAGAGAGAAGGAGGGGAAGAGAAAAAATGAGAGAAACAGTGATGTGAGAAAGAAACATCAATTGGTTGCCTCTTGTAGGCCCTGCCCCACAACGGGGTACTAAACCCACAACCCAGGCATGTGCCCTGACTGGGAATCGAACCCAAGACCTTTTGGTTCATGGAGCATTGCCTAACCAACTGAGTCACACTGGCCAAGGCAACTTTTAAAACTTTTCTCAATTACAGTTTACATTCAATATTATTTTAATTAGTTTCAGGTATACAGGATGGTGGTTAGACAATCATGTACTTTATGAAGTGTTCCTCGATATTCCCAATTCCCCATTGGCACCACACATAGTTATTACAATATTATTGACTGTATTCACTGTGCTGTACTTTATATCCCCATGACTATGTTGTAACTGCTAATCTGTACTTTTCAATCCCTTAACCTCTTTCACCCAGTCCCCCAACCCCGCTTCCCTCTGCCAACCACCAGTCTGTCTTCTGTGTCTACGAGTCTTTTTGAATTGTTGGTTCGTTTATACTGTTCTTCAGATCTACGTATAAGTGAACTCATTTGTCTTTCCCTGGCTGACTTATTTCACTTAATGTAACACCCCCTAAGTCCATCCACGCAGTAGCAAATGGTGAGATTTCATTCTTTTTTTTTATTGCCATTTATTATTCATACTTTTGATATTTCTTCTTCTTCTTGAAAAAGACCCTTAACATTTCCAGTAACCCTGGTTTGGTGATGGTGATGATGAACTCCTTTCAGCTTACATGTTTTGGTACAATGAACTATTTACTGCATATTCAAGAGAACTTGAATATTACAAACTTGCCCAGCATGACTGAAAAGCGAGATACACTGGTTAGTCAATTACCTGGTTACTAGAAAGTTATCTCTTCTTCCTATAAAACACCACGTTTCAAGGAATTGATCCTAAACAGTAATGATACTAAACCAGATTGGCTCCTTTCTGATACTTCATAATCATCTTATCTGGCCTCAGGGTCATCGTCATCAATGTCCCTTGTCATTGTCCTAACCAAGCACTGTATACATTTTATAAGTTGCAGGGTATGAGACACTTAGGAAACAGGTTAGAGCAGGACCAGAAAATTTTTTTGTAGACAATATTTCAAATGCCTTATTTCTTTTTCCTTCCTGTTTTTGTTCCAGGACTGTCAATAGTCTTGGAGTATTAAATGGTGCACAACTTTTCTCGCTCAATAAAGAAGAACTGAAGACAGTCTGCCCTGAAGGGGCCAGAGTCTTTAACCAAATCACCGTGCAGAAAGCTGCATTAGAGGTAGGACTTGTCAAGCTAAAGTGCTGTTCTGTATTTGTCCAGAGCACAGACTGCAAATTGAAAGCTGTAGAGTCATCTGTTTATGTCCACATTGGTCAATTTCTCTTTCATAGAAAGCTGAATTAAATTTGATTCAGCTTTTGTAATTTGTCACTGGAGACCATCAGTGAGCATTTGGAGGGGGATTTGTTTTAAATGCTCGTGTAACATGAAACTTGGACATATACTTCTGGACATTTAATGAAAACCTAATGTTCTCATTTTATATGCATTAGCTATTTCTGTAGGAATTTTCATTTTGACACAGTAATGGACATTCACCTCTGTGAATAAATGCCTTAAGAGGTTGAACTCTTTTGCCTGTTCTTAATATTTAGTTTGGAGGTTCCAGTAAGTTAAAGGTTATAAGGTCTTAAAACTCTCGTGATGTGTCTTAGACCTGGTTATATAACTAAATACGAGGAGGGACCAAAAAACCCCAGAATTTATTTATAAAAAATTGTGCATTTATTCTTACATGTTTAAATTTCAGTCACTTTCAAAGTATTCTCCATTTGAGGCAATACACCTGTTTGAGACATTTTTTCCACTACTCAAAACAGTTTGTGAACTGGTGGATTTTGATGCCTTTTAGTGCTTCTGCCATGTTTGTTTGTTTGTTTATTTGTTTTGCCTCTTCCACATCAGCAAAATATTTCCCTTTGAGGACTATTTTCATCCAGTGAAACAAACAAACAAAGTTGCCTGGGCGAGATCGGGTGAATAAGGAGAGTGGGATGTGGGGGGTCATGCTGTTTCTGGTCAAAAACTGCTGAACACGCAGTGCAGCGTGGGCAGGTGCGCTCGTAAATCTCCCATCATGAAATGGGCCAATGCATTGAAAGAGTCTCCAAAAAAAAATTCACCGAAGCCAAATGCAGCCTCTCACAATGACACCAGCTGGAACACCGATAAAGATTGGTTCTCAGAACACTTACCTAGCAGGGCAGGCCTGTACTACAGGGACCTGCCTTCCAGAAGATAATTGTGTTTTGGGGAGGTCCCCCCTCTTAATCAGAGGGATAATGTTAGATAGGGATCATAAATATAGAAAGCCCTAAAGAATAATTCTTTAGTCATAGTTGTCTGTAGGAGTGCAGAAGAGTAAATGTTTTCTAGATTGGACATAAGCTTCCAATATCCTACTCTACTTAAAATGGGCTTTTTGCACGGGTAGTAGTTCCCAACCGTTTCATCTTACCGCTGTTAATAGCTTTCATGAACATTATACTTGGACTCAAATGAAAGGATATAGGCTTTGGGGTGAAACTGATACATAATTATCTCTAGCAGGTATATTATATAAACTCAATAGTCAACTCAGAGTAGAATAGCTTCATGCATACAACTCTATAACTATTCTCAGTCAGGAGAAATTTTATTTCCCTTGGAAATTTTCCCTGCGGCTTTCTGCATATTGAATATGAATAAGGGATTATATCTTTTCTGAGACAGTTTTGTTACCATTAAAATACATTCTAATTTTATTGAGTGTATATAAATTACTTCCTAAGGGTATGACGAAAAGTTCTGTATCCCTCACATCTCTGGGCTCCTTTAGTCCAGGTCCCTCACCATTGTCATTGGCCTCACTGCCAGCTGCTCCTGGTCTCTTGCTCCTGTTCCTTTCGCTGTGAATGGAGGCAGAGACTGACAACCTGAGGCTCTTCGTCTTCCTCAGCGCCCTTCCCACCATACCCTTCTCTTGCATCTAGTTCACTTTTTAGATTACTTACCTGTGTTGTACTTCCATTGATGGGAGCAGGACGAGGAGGGTGCACAGGCAGTGTAGGACAGCTTGGGGAGGAGAAAAGGACATGATGTCAGAGGGTCAGGCGTGTGTAGAGGGAAACCTGGTGTGTTCAGAGCCCAGTCTTCCGGCCTGAGTGAGAATCCCCTAAAGAGGGATGAGTATCTTCCCTGAGCTAACGAGCGTTCTTTGATAATTTTCTGTTATTATATTATTGTGCACATATCCTCGTTATCCCAGGGAATCTAGAGCTGCACATGCATTATTGACTTATCTTTATCATGTTCAAATGAAAGGCATGGTGAAAGAATGCCTTAAAACACTATATAAATGGGAAGAAAAATTAATGTGGTATGTTAGTGACACCCAGAAGCATCACAGAAGGGCAACCTTGAGTTTCCCCTCAAGACATATTAGAAGAAAAACGCAAAGGACTTTCAACCTGAGCTTGTCTGATTACGTGACCTACAGTCTTGCACAAACCAGTAACCGCCTTGTCCGAATGGTGTTTATTTTTCAGGATAGCAGTGGCAGCTCCGAATTGCAAGAAATCATGCGGAGACGACAGGAGAAAATCAGTGCTGCTGCTAGTGATTCAGGAGTGGAATCTTTTGATGAGGGAAGCAGTCACTAATTTCTTTCTTTCTTTGTTTTGAAACTCCATTTAAATTTCCGGCATTATTCCAACGTGCTTTGTTTTAAGAAGCCTTGAAGGGAATGTCAGGTTTTTTTTTAATCTCTTGGTATACTTTATTTATCGCCATAAAATAACAGTGCAAACATAAGTAAGTAGAGGACTTGCTTCTGGACCCATTTTTATTAAAACTGAAAAATTTTAAATAGAATTTTTTGACCTTGGGAAACATTTTGTTTACCACAGGTGAGGTTTTCTTTATTGGATTATTTCATCTTCATCTCAGTGTATAAGCCGGCATTTTTTGACAGTGATGAACTTATGTATCTCAGCAGAACAAAAATATTGCCCGTGACTCAAACTCTAAACAGTTCCAGATTTGCCTGTGACTATGGTGTCTGTCATTCAGGGTGTAGTGATGTCAGGCTAGCCTCTGCTTACTTAGGTCTCTTGTTTGACATACTCAATGATAGAATATTTCAATTTATGTAAAGTTCTTAATGCCAACACTTTTTAAAAAATTAAAACATTTAATGAACCGTAAAATACAACGAGGCCTTGGACATGCAAAAGCTAAACCTATGGAGCATTCCCAAGACATTTTGTCATGGCTCTGTTGACTACAATTCCATGTATAGCTTGTATTTTGATTTAGCTTATATTCTGCTTATTACCTATTCTCTGTTCTTATATATGAGAAAGCACAAGTGGAAAAGAGGTCATATATATTCAAAATATGTCACAGGGAATAGCCTGCATTGGTGTGAGTTACAGTATTTTGCTTAATGAAGGTCTCAGTTCTGAATATTGATATTAGCAGTTAAAAGGAAATTGGGGCCATTTTATGTGTTTATCTGTGTCAAGTTTTTCTGGTAATAAGAAACAATTTACACATATGTTAATCCTGTGAAAGATTCTAGATATAGAAAAGAAAGATACTTAACCTTCAACAAATGTTATTTTTGAAAACACGATTTTTGTCATTAAATGTTATATTATTTCTCATATATAAAACAGATGTTATGTAAGAATGTTGTATATTTTAACATAAACCCATTTAGAGAGATTATCTAGATTCATTAATTTTCATAGTGCCTTTTTCACATGAGTCAGCTGGAAAGTCTGCAATAAACAGTACTTGCTGTATGTTAATAAATGGCTTCTGTATCATTGGCAAAGGGGCTCTTTGGTATGTGGACTGGGGCTCAAGGTTGAATGGAATGGGAAAACAGAGGCTCACTCTTTTATTTTCTTAAAACTGATTTTCAGTGTATTTTTGAGTGGGTAGAAACCACTCTAGACTGCTTTCTTCAGTTTCCTTTTTTTTTACCTCTATTTATCTCATCATCTCTTCCTTCTACTGTCTAGTCATAGTTAGTCATAGTAGTAAAAACAAATTCACACAGCACTTACAATCACTAAAGGCTTCACAGAAATGCTTTATTCGATATGTACAATAACTCTGTGAGTTATATTTTATAGACAAGAAAATTCTCCCCAAATCGTGAGGTATATGAGAGTCTCCCATTTTCTATTTCTCAATCTCTCCATAACACCGCCCCTCAGATAAAATGAAACAAACAAGAGAATGATGAATTATTGTAGATCTTTTCCATTTCATAAGTACTGATACACATTTATCACTTAGCCCTTATTGAAAATATCTGAAGATGTAAGGATAAGACAAAAGAAAATAAGAAAAATTAAAATGGGATGCCTGACATTGTGAATTTTCCCTTGTTGCTGTCGGATTCTTTTGTATTCCCATAAATATAATGGTTCTTCGTTTTTTCAGAATACTGCTAAGTTAGTTGGGACGAGTTTGAGTTTTTCTGATTCTGCCTTTAAACTCTGTTAGGTGGCCCAGAGCAGCATTTACATTAGAGCTAATTTTCTCCCGCTGTCAAGGCAAAACCCCTCTGGATACTCAACCTATTGCTTCCTGAATTATGATGTTTTCCACTCTTGCAGGTGATAAGAACTATTCTTGGTCCTGTGTGAGCTCTGAGAATTATTCCTCTAATCCTTTCTGGTGGTTCTTTCCTCAGCCTTGAGCAATTTTCTCCTGCATAAGCATTGACTTACGCGCAGTGTAAGGTCCTGTGGGGCCCTGTGCAGATCTCCAGAGCGCTCTCTTCCTGCAGCTTCCTCCTCTCAACTACTCTGACTACTCTGTGCAAGATCTCTCACTCCCTTCCTGTTCCACTCTCCGAGCTTAGACTCCTCACCTCGAGTCTGCCGATTCCATGTGAGTTCTCCCTGCCTGCCCTGCAGCTTGGAAACCATCTCCAGGCAAAAAGCTGGAGCAGTGATCGCTGTCATTTATTGCCCAGTGTCCACTCTCCTGGAAGCTGTTCTTTCATATATTGTGTGTTTTTCAATTGTTTCACGCTAGGGGTTAAATCCAGTCGCTCTGACTTCATCTGAGCCCAAAGTTGAAGTCACCTTCCTTTTGAATGTCTATTTTTCACTGAATATGGAAATCTAGGTTGTCCCTTTTGATTAGAAAACTTCAAAAGTGTCACTCCATTGATTTTCTTTTTTAGCTTCTCTTGTTGTTGATGGTAAGTTAGTCATCGTTCATGTTTTTTTCCCTCTTGCTTTTCAAGGTTCTTTCCAATAGCTTTTATTTTTAGCAGCTTCTTTATATATTTGGTAAATGTATTTTCTTGGTATTTATTCTCTGTGGGCTTCAGTGGATTTCTGGATTTGTAAGTCATTGTTTTGCCATTATTGGAAGCTCTTATTCCTTCTGGTATTTTTCTCTGCTCCTTTCTCTTTTACTCTCCTTCCACCTCCAATTACATGTATGTTAGGCCACTTGATATCATTTTAAAGATCCTTGAGTCTCTGTTATTTTTTTAACCTTTTTTTCCCCATCTTCAGATTGGAAAAATTTTTATAATATATATTCAGATTCGTCAGCTCTTTTTTCCTTTCCTGTGGTCTGTTTTCTAATATGCTGTTGTTTCAGTCTAGATAAATTTTCCTTACAGTTATTTTTATTTTATCAGTTCTACAATTTACATATTCTTTTATTTAGCTTCCATTTTTTTCTGCTGAGACTTTCTGTCTGTTCACTCATTAAAATAATATTTCTCTTTTATTCTTTGAACAACTCTTAAAAATTTCTGTAACACATAAAGGCTACTGTATAATCTTTACCTGCTAAATCCTGCACTTGGGCCACCTCAGGCTCAGTTTTTATGGATCACTTTTCTTCCTCACTGTGGGCCCTAGTTTTCTCTTTCTTTGCATGTATAATAATTTGTATTACATATTTGATATTGTATATGTGTTTTAGATACTCTAGAATATGTTATCTTCCTTTGAAAGATATTTATTCTTGTTCTAGCAAGCAATTCTATTCTGGTCGGTCACTTTGAATTTGTATACCTTTGGTTTTATGCTTCGTTAGGGTGCGTCATGGTAAACTCAATATGTTTTAAAAGGTCTTACCATCTTGATGGAACTCTGTCTACAAACTCTTCTACACATCTGGTGAGGCTTGATTTTAGGCTTCATCTATACATGTCAAAAACAGTGTATACCGTGGAGTTTTTACCTGTAAGAAATACCTTTTTTTTGGATGAATTCCCAGAATACTTTGTATCTCTGCTGGATGCTTAAGTTGTTTAAAAGTGTTAAACAGATCTCTTCACTTATGGTGGGCTGGATCTCTAATGTCCCCAGCACAGCTACCTCTGGTAGCACTCATCTACTCTCAGCCTTATAGCAGCCACTCTCTGATCAGCACTGGGTAATGTTGCTCCATGTGTGAACTGGGTGGATTCACTTATAAATTTCTGCAGCCACTCCCTGCACAACTGCTTCCACTCTGGTGCCCTTCTTTGGAAAATCCAGCCATTCCCTGTGCCCTGAACTCTGATCTTTACCCTCTCAGTTCAGCAGGGCTAACTTGCTGTGTTTGGATCCAGTTACTGCACTGCATTTGCGAAATTGTCCCCATGCAATGAGCTGTTGACTTTCCTTATCCCAAGGATTATAGTCTTGTGTATATAAAAGGTGAGCAGTGAATTTTATTTCCCCCTCCCCTATTCCTAAAGAAGCACTGGGTCGTGGGAAGCTAAGGTGAGAGACACTCTAATCACTTAAAACTTTTCCTTTTGTACTTTTCTCTAGGAAAATTTGAGATTCACTTGTTTTCTAAAATTTGCAGAGGCTGCATTAGGGGTTGGGCAGGGATCTCACCAGGACGGGCTCTGCTCACTTTCCCTGCGTGCTTGCCGAAGGAGGCTTGCATGAGCATCATTACCAGAAAGTTGGACAGACTTCGCAAAGGGGCGTATGTAAAGCCCGGTGGTTTCTAAGTAGGAGAAGGAGAAGACAACTTTCAATCAGTAAACATTTAGTAAGTGTCTACTTTTAAGAACTGGATATTAAAGAGAATTCTAGATAAAACCTCTGCCCTCAGAGAACATGCAATCGAAAGAATTGTGTAGCTGACCTTATTTTTTCCTAGAGCTGATCTCATCGATCTCCTGAGGCAGAATTACACCCCGAAACCAACACTGCTGATTTCCTAGAGGCTGTGATTTTATCCTTGTGACACTTAGTTTTTCCCAAAGGGCAGGAAACAGTTCTGGGTCAAAGACAGGAATTTCCGTCTGTATTCACATCTCTTTTCCCCACCCATTATCTTGCCATCATCCTGGTGGCGTCCCAATCCGCTGTGGCTGCCGGTCTCTCTGAGACCTGCTCCCTCGCGCACCACGGCACAGCCGCCCGCCTGGGCTCTGCTCCTGTGCATTGGCGGCGTGGAGCACAGGAAAAGCGGAAGCAGCCAGTTGGCTTCAGCTTGGGTTTTCTGAGAAGTGCTCAGTTGCTTTGGTGGAGAAGGTCATAGTTATCAATCTCCTAATACCCAAATGTTCAGGTTTATCTCGTCACATTTGTGAAAGAAAGGTTATAAGATGAAAAGCTAGTAACATTCTGACAAGATAAAAGGGATTAGTAAGAACCACACTAATCAGACTCTATGCTCGGTTGCAGTATGACATGGCTGTGAGGTGCTCTGAGGGAACTGAGGGGCTCACTGAACCTGAATTTCTCTATCAGTTGGGATATTTTAAGAGCTGAGAAGCTGCCTAGAGAGCCTTAGGCATATCACCTTTATTTGGTGCTGGGATGAGGTGGGCAATGAACCAGGGCCCCTGCCAGGCCCAGATGGTCCTGGTCCCAGTGAGTCCCAGGGCCCTTTCCTTCCTGACTGTGGTCCCAGGCACGTGGCCCGATTTCCGCTGCTTCTCAGGGCTGCCCCCGGGAGCCCTCAGGCAGGCAGTCTTGTGCCCCAAACCCGGCTGTGGAGTGGGATGTAATTTCTCCAACTTCAGTCATTTCTATCCCTATAAATGAATGCAGTCTAAAATAATGGAAAAATAAGGAATCACACACACACACACACAGTGAGAAATCAATATCTATAGTCTTTCATAGCTTATCCTATTTTAACATTTCTTACTTGTAATGGTTGCATATGCTGAGACCTTCTGCCATTTCATTTATTTTAAAGAAAGGGAAGCAAGAGCTGAACTCATATGTGCTGACAAGTTTCAAAGATATTCCCACTTTTACTGACAAATTGAAACTCAGACACAAGGCAGTAGCTTAAATAAAGTCACAGAGTTAAGTGAAACAAGTAAAGTTAGACTCACTTCTCTTAAACGCCTATATATTCTACAAATTTTTTCTCTTAGCTATCATAGGTCAGTGTATTAAAAAATTTTTAAGCAGAAAGCATTTTTTAAGCATGAAACTTAATGCAGTACCCTGCCGTATAAATTAGGTAAAATCAGATCTTGTCTCCCTGACGCTGTGAAGAGGAAGCATGGAGCCTCGTTTGAACTCACTGGCCCGGGTCTCACAGGCTGGCTCCTCCAAGGACACCCTTGCCGGTGAATGCGAAGGTAGATCGGGAGCTGATCATTCCTTGGCAACAATTAGACCACGAACTATAGTTCTTGGTCTCAACAGTCGTCTTCATCTTTAGGGAATCTCATCAGATGGCTGACCACCTCTTCAAAGCACCATTTGTTTAGATAAGAAAATTACCTCTGCACATCCTCAGAGTCCCGCATCAATGCTTTGGAGTAAAAATTATATAAAATACTGATAAATTGGGGCAAAAATTAGCTG